CAGCTACTCGGGAGGCTGAGGCAGGAGAATCATTTGAACCCGGGAGGCAGAGGTTGCAGTAAGCAGAGACTGTGCCACTGCACCCCAGCCTGGGCAACAAGAGGGAGACTCTGACTCAAAAAAAAAAAAAAAAAAAAGAATAAACACACACAAAAAAAGGCTTTTCTACACACCAGGCCTAATTAGTTAGAAGATAAAATTTTTGAAATGAAAACTATGGAATAGCTGGGGGTAAATCTATAAAAAATGAGCAAGACCTACGTGGAGAAAACTAAGACTGGGTGCAGTGGCTCACACCTGTAATCCCAGCATTTTGGGAGGCTGAGGGGGGCAGCTCACTTGAGGTGAGGAGTTCGAGACCAGCCTGGCCAACATAGTGAAACCCCATCTTTAGTAAAAATACAAAAATTGGCCAGGCCTGGTGGCACACAACTGTAATCCCAGCTACTTGGGAGGCTGACAGCTACTTGGGAGGCTGAGGCAGGAGAATCTCTTGAACCCAGGAGGTGGAGATTGCAATGACCTGAGATTGCACCACTGCACTCCAGTCTGGGCGACAGAGGGAGACTCCATCTCAAAAAAAAAAAAGCGCTGGGTGCGGTGGCTCACGCCTATAATCCCAGCACTTTGGGAGGCCGAGGCAGGCGGATTACAAGGTCAGGAGTTCGAGACCAGCCTGGCCAACATAGTGAAACTCCATCCCTACTAAAAATACAAAAATTAGCCAGGCGTGGTGGTACGCGCCTGTAGTCCCAGCTACTCGGGAGGCTGAGGCAGTAGAATCACTTGAACCCAGGAGGCGGAAGTTGCAGTGAACCGAGATTGTGCCACTGTCCTCCAGCCTGGGTGACAGAGACTCCATCTTAAAAAAGTAAAATTAAAAAAAGAAAAAAAAAGGAAAGAAAACTAAAACTTTTATTGAAGGACATAAAAGAAGACCTAGGCTGGGTGTGGTGGCTCATGCCTGTAATGCCAGCACTTTGGGAGGCCAAGACCGGTGGATTACCTGAGGTCAGGAGTTCAAGACTAGCCTGACCAATATGGTGAAATCCCATCTCTACTAAAAATACAAAAATTAGCCGGATATGGTAGCAGGCACCTGCAGTCTCAGCTACTCGAGAGGCTAGACAGGAGAATCATTTGAACCTGGGAGGTGGGGGTTGCAGTGAGCTGAGATCATGCCACTGCACTCTAGCCTGAGTGACAGAGTAAGACTCTGTCTCCAAAAAAAAAAAAGAAGACCTGAAGAGACAATGCCTACAGAGAAAGAGACAGGACTTTAAAAATACCTTTGGAAGGTCCATTTTGGTCATATGTGTTACAAGTTTAAACACATCATTTTCACCTCACCAACCCCACGGTAGAACTCTATCCTACACAAATACTGGCATATGTTTGCTAGATGTATAAATCCATGAAGATAAATGTATAAAGAAAGCCTGCTGCACTGCTTATTAGCAACCAGTGAGAACATATGCTCATCATCATGAACGAGGTTAGGTCTGAAAATACTGAAATCAAAAGATGTCCAGGATCCACGGTGAGAAAGGCCTGCCACGCTCCTCTGCATCCTTTCCCTGTGCTCCAGCCCTTCCCTCTTTTCTCTCTGCCTGAAACATTCTTCCCCCAGATATCCCATCTCTGTAGCAGCCAGCTGGAGGCCTAAGGTGTTGGTCCACCCAAGTGTGCAGGAAGCAATTCTGAGGGCATGATCCAAATTCACCCGTTTCACTCCCAACACAGATTCACATTGCAGTGAATTTCTACTTGTTAAAAAAAAAAAAAAAAATCTTTCTGGGCAGGGCACAGTGGTTCACGCCTGTAATCCCAGCACTTTGGGAGGCCGACGTGGGCAGATCACCTGAGGTCAAGTTCGAGACCAGCCTGGCCAACATGGTGAAACCCTGTCTCTACTAAAATACAAAAATTAGCCAGCATGGTGGCACACGCCTGTAATCCCAGCTACTCAGGAAGCAGAGGCAGGAGAATCACTTAAATCCAGGAGGCAGACATTGCAGTGAGCCGAGATTGCGCCATTGCACCACAGCCTAGGCGACAAGAGTGAAACTTAGTCTCAAAAAAAAAATTCTTTCTGAATTTCTGAAATTCTTTCTGAAATTCTGAACCATCAGGCACAATACATTGTTATCAATTAGTTCCCAGAAAGAAGTGCTTTGGTCTGGATCAATGTTTTACTTCTATACTGTTAGCACCAAGTACAATTCAGAGAAAAAGAAGGGTGCTGGGCACACCCAGGACAGCAGAGGGCGCGGTGGAACAGCACAGAACGCTCAGGCAATAGACTAACTTCCAAGAAAATCCAGTGCACCCAAACTTAATCAAATAGGCCAAGGTCCGCCTCCATCTCCCAACAGGTGGAGTCAGATCATATTAAACAGATTCCCTCCAAGTCCTTTGCTAAGTCATTCCAGACAGCCTATTACCCATCTCTTCTGCTAGACAATGGGTTTCAATGTCCCCTGGAATCAACCACCCAACCCCTTCCACAACTTTCCCCCAAATGGCACTATTCGCCTGAGGGTTCCACTGGTCTACAAGTCAGGTCATCATGCCATAAATGTCTGTAGTCAGTCTCCTCTAGTAATGCTGCCCCTGTTCACAGCCCATTCTAGGCAGGTAACAACTTCCACACACAAAGCCAGAGTTCAAATAAAATGGGTGGGCATGGTGGCTCACGCCTGTAATCTTAGCACTTTGGGAGGCTGAGGTGGGCAGATTACCTGAGGTCAGGAGTTCAAGACCTGCCTGGCCAACATGGTGAAACCCCGCCTCTACCAAAAATTTTTTAAAAATAAAAAAAATAAATAAATTAGCCAGGTGCAGTGGCACCTGCCTCTAATCCCAGCTACTCTGGAGGCTGAGGCCGCGGAATTGCTTGAGCCCGGGAGGCAGAGGTTGTGGTGAGTGGAGATCGCGCCACTGCACTCCAGCCTGGGCTACAGAGCAAGACTTCGTCTCAAAAAAAAAAAAAAAAAAAAAAAAACTTCTAAAGCCAGCCAGCCAGCTCATCTCAGATGGAACTAATATAAAAGACTAATTATAAACTAATGGAACCGTGCACTGCAAATAATTTGGCATTTCTGTTCTCCAAATGCTAAACCTGGTCCCCAGGCCACTCTCAACTCCTCTGCCCAGGCACCACCCACCACGCACCCGACTCCTTGCTGTCAAAAGGATCCCACAGATTCCCATCACCAGAGTGCCCGTGCTCCCTCTGGAAGGTGGTGAGGGATTAAACTAAGAGGAACTGAGACAGATGGAAGGGAAGGCAGGGACACTGGAGAAGAGTCTAAGGAAGAAGCGAGTGACTCTGACAGTCACTATCAGCATGTCAGCCCCATGAGGAGAGGACTTTCTGTGTTTTGTTCACTATTCAATGCCCAGCGTCCAAAAATATTTCTGGAATGCAAACAGGTGGGAGGGGGAGATGCTGAGGAAGTAAAAGAAATAGGATATTGCCATTCAACAAACATTTCCTGATTACCTACTCTTCGTCAAGCCCTATGCTGGGTCTTGTGTGGGTGGAAATTAAACACAAAACACAGATCCCGGCCGGGCGCGGTGGCTCAAGCCTGTAATCCCAGCACTTTGGGAGGCCGAGACGGGCGGATCATGAGGTCAGGAGATCGAGACCATCCTGGCTAACACGGTGAAACCCCGTCTCTACTAAAAAGTACAAAAAACTAGCCGGGCGAGGTGGCGGGCGCCTGTAGTCCCAGCTACTCCGGAGGCTGAGGCAGGAGAATGGCGTAAACCCGGGAGGAGGAGCTTGCGGTGAGCAGAGATCCGGCCACTGCACTCCAGCCTGGGTGACAGAGCCAGACTCCGTCTAAAAAAAAAAAAAAAAAAAAAAAAAACACAGATCCCCCGGAGGCCCCAGACTGATGAAGGCAACAAACAAGATACAACCAGAGATGGATTTTGAAAGATGAATAGGAGTTAGCCGAGCTGTCAATAGTAAGAAGTAAGGTTGGTCCAAGGCACAGCGCTTTCTGAAGGAACAGGAAGTGATAGGAAGGCGAGCGGCTATGAGAGACCGCGTTAAGAGGTGCGGGGCGCTTATGGACGCTGCCCAGTCCCGGCCCCCTCCAGCCCGGGGCCCGCCGCTCACCACACGCACCGGAAGCGCTCGGTTCTCCCGGAGGCAGACCGGCCAGCACACCACTGTCCGGTCACGTTCCGACGCGGCCCCGGGGCCGCCAGCCAATCAGTGGAGGCCTCTGCCCCGCCCCCGCGTGAACAACCAATGATAGCGCCGTCGGGCCGGAAGTTGTTCCGTCCGGATGGCGTTTCCACGGACGCCCCGGAGACAACCCGTGTCTGAGCCGGGAGTGCTGACGGGCCCGGCTGGGCCGGGTAAGCGAGAGGAGTGAGGCCGGGGCGGAGTGAGGGACAAGGGAGGGAGAATGGAGGGACGCCCGCGCGGCGCCCAGCGGCCTGGCCCTCCAGGCAGTATCCTGAGAGCCCTGCTTGCTGCTCGCCGCGTTCTGGCACCATGAAAGGCGCGGATCCGGCCACCGACCCCTTGCTCCTTTCCTGTGAGCGCCGCCGACCCACCCCGTTTCCCTTTCCCACCGGCACCAACCCTTCATCATCTCCACCTCTTCTCTTTTCCCGAGAAGAGAGGCCCCCATTTTTATTTAGCGCTTGCCATGTGCCAGAGACTTTGCCTAGTGTTGCAGTTAGTCCGCTCAATGGTAATGTTAGCAGGCTTCTCCATGCCCATTTCACAGATGAGGAAACCGAAGGGAAGCAGAAAAGTAATGTGACCCTTGCCCAAGGTTTCGAATAAGTCCAAGCTGGGATTGAAACCCAGGCGTCTGTGACCTCAGAACTCCCGATCTTTCCACTACACTGCGCCGCCTCGGTGAACAAATGCGGGGAATTTACGGTTTCTCTTTCTAACGCCCACGACTCCACAAAATCAGTCACACTGACACTGAGGGTGGGGAACGGGAAGAGGGTGGAGAGGTTATTTGGAGGCCAGCGGGGGGTGAGGGGTGGCTGATGCAATGCCCAGCTAATGGCTCGATTCTCAGGAGGGTTTCATTGGTCTCAGCCTGGTCCCAGGCAGCCCACCTCTGATTGGACAGTCTCATCAAGAAGGTTGGTCAGGAGCTCAAGTGTTTCCGAGAATCAGGGCGATTTATAAGAAAAGTTTAGCTGAATGCAGGGTGGGGACTGGTAAACAAAAGAAAGAGAAAAGTCTCTTTTTTCAGAAGGGAAACTGAAAGAAAGAGGGGAAGAGTATTAAAGACCATTTCTGGCTGGGCTGGGCATTCTCAGCTGCTCTACTGCCCAGCGTGACCAGTGGCCACCTCTGCAGAGTCTTCCACAACGTGGGTATGTATTGCCATCTTTGCCAGGCTTAGAGCTTGTTAGTGTTTTTACCAAAGTGCTGAAAACCTTGGTTTAGGGGGTCAGGACTTGTGTCTTTAGGATTAGGGTGTTATGCATTTTACTTCTTCCATTGACCGAAAGTTCAGGTAATTCACTGCTCCCATAGGGAATAGAGATCCTGGCTGAGCAGTCGTGTGCTTGGATTTGTAGCTTGCCTCCCAGCACTCTCATGCTGTCTGTCATAGTTTTCACTGATGCAGCCTCCTTCTGTGCTCAACATCAGAACGTATTGTCATTCTTGTTGTGACACCCCAAAGTGTCTAGTGCCTGGCTTCATATAAATTAATGGCTTTGCCTTTTAAGATAATGTTCATTTGTTATTTGGAGGGGAAAGCAATCTTTCTTTTAGTGTTTAAAAAAAAAAAAAAGTGGAACATAATGGGTCCCAGAAGGTGTCAAGAAATCCTTGCTCTAAAGAAGTCATTTTCTTGTCCTCTGGGAACTTTCCAGTCGAAAGGCATAGTCACTTACACTCTGGGGCCAAGATGTAAAGGATGGTATTCCACCTCCTGGTGATATTCCAGGGATTCAGAAACACTCCTGGGCTACATTTTCTTCTCAGCTGCTCCAGAATTGGCTGTCTTGATGCCACCCTTCCCCAGATTGCAGAATCAGTGTGTCCTGATCTTCTCTGTGAGATGATTTTTATGCAACCCAAGTCTTTATCATGTTGTTCTGTTAAACAATTCTATAATTCTTTCCACTCCTCATCCCAATACAATACCCAGTTTCTTTAAGTGCCTATTATGCTCCTCCACAACAGTGGGAAATTTCACAATGAGCACAAGATTCAAGTTCTTGAAAAGGGGGTTGGGGGTTAATTTTCAAGAGCCTTTTTAGCTTTCTCCTTGAAGGTCTGCTGTGATCTGCTTTGGAGTAGGCAGTTTTGCTCTTTACGCGCCCAGTACTTTTGTTTAGGGAAGATAATAGAGTACTTCACTGGTTATAACAGCATTTCTTTGTTTCAGAGTGTAGTATTTGTTAAACAGGTAAATCTAATTCTCTTAAAGACTTAATGTTCTATTTGCAATTTATTTGGTAAACACTGAAGACAATGGTCCTTAACCTTTTGGCATCTCAGCCTCGTTTGGAAAGGTTAGAAGCCAGGAGACTGCTCAAAACCATGCACATACCAATGTACTTGCAAGCATTAATGTAATTTCAGATGTTCATGAACTCCAAGTTGAAAAACCTCTGAAGTTCAACTCAATTCTGAAAGTCAACAAAGAAATAAAAGAGGATGTTGATAGGTAGGGGGAAGAAGAACATTTACACAATAAATGGGATAAACTGATAAATGCATGAAATGAGGAAGATGGTAGTTCCATTCTCCTTGTCTCTGACCACACAGAAAGTTGCATCATACACACACACACACACACACACACACACACACACACGATTTCAATAGTGTGGATGATTCCCATACAAAATATATGCCTTGTGATCATAATAATTTGCTATTTCCTCAGTCTAATTTCATTCCCATGTGCTGCCTTTTTTTTTTTTTTTTTTGAAACAGAGTCTCGCTCAGTCGCCCAGGCTGGAGTGCAGTGGCGCGATCTCGGCTCACTGCAAGTTCTGCCTCCCGGGTTCACGCCATTCTCCTGCCTCAGCCTCCCAAGTAGCTGGGAGTACAGGCGCCTGCCGTCAGGCCTGGCTAATTTTTTGTATTTTTAGTAGAGACGGGGTTTCACTGTATTAGCCAGGATGGTCTCGATCTCCTGACCTTGTGATCCGCACACCTCAGTCCCATGTGCTTCTTAAATGGAGTTCTGATAGTTATAGACACATGTTTTTCCCTGCAACAGGGACCCTAAATGCAAGTACAGTTTATCTAGCTGATCCTCTAGCAAAGAAACAGTTATCTATTCTCTTGCAATGGGAGATTGGCTCTCCTGGAATCACCCAGGCATTCTACCTGGCACTTTCTCCAGGAATTTTTAAGAATAATTTTTATACTTGATTAACTTCAAAACCTTACTGCTGCTGTTTTGTTGCCTTCCACGCAGGGCACTGCTTTTTTTGGAAGGACAGGGTAAACCAAAAGGAATTCCAAAAATAGTGACCAGGATGGTGGGCAGATGTTAGCAGAGGGTGAAGAAACCAGACTAGGGATGGGAGACCTGGAGAAGACCCCAGGAGACCAGCCTGGCTCTCCATAGATCTGGGAAGGCTCAACTCGGTACCAGTACATTAAACAAGAGGCCATCTAAAGTCCAGCTAGGGGAATCAGACTTCAACTGGAACAAGTAAAGACAATCTACAGATAAACCTTAGAGGAAAAAGTTGAACTAGATGACTAAGGAGATTCATTCATTAGGTAAATATTTTTTAATAAGCTGTGTGTCAGGTACTAGAATTACACGGAAGAATAAACCCAGTGCTTACCTTTTCTGTCTGCTGGGGAAGACATGAATAACTAAACTGCAGTGTAAGTGCTTTCATAAAGTTACTAAAGGAGTGTTTGGGGATCACAGAGGATGGAGCAACCAACTTGGTCCCAGAAGCACAGGTGTCAGGAGAGGCTGTGAAGAGCTGAGTTAAAATTGGAAAGAATCAGCAGAGTTCAGGCAGAGAAGGGTGTGAGATATTTCAGGCAGGCAGGCAGCAGGGAGCAGCAGGGATTCTGAGAAAGCACATGAGCGAGGGGGCTTGGCAATCAGATTCTGGCTTAGCTACTCCCTAGCAATGGAGCCGTCAGCCTCTTGTCTGCTATTGCAGGGTGTATAGAGTAACACCCAGCTTTGAGAGTTGGGAGAATTCAGGATAAGTATCTGGACATGATGTTTGATGATTTGTGGCTAGAAGTAATTTTCATGAGTTTGATTGTTATTTGATATGGGCAAAGACCTTAGAGAGAAATGGATGACGACTGATTTGCTCAGCTTGTTGCTGGGGAGGGAACGGGAGAGTCTGGGAGTTCTCCTCTCTAGCCCTAGGCAGAGGGTACTTCTGCATTCCTCCCTAAACTGGATGCTTTCTTATCTGAGTCAGTTATCTCACCAAACCTCCCCTTCTGGGAATTGAGGTGGTTCTCATCAAGGAAGAGAAAGAAACTGGCTGCTGTCCTATCCTGGTTTTCAGTGTTATACTTTCATTGACTTAAATACATTTTGATTTACATACTTTTTTTCAATTTTTGTTTTTTTATAAAAAATTTTTGGAGAGACAGGGTCTCACTATCCATGTTACCTTTCACTTGTGTCACTTGTGTCTGTGTGAAGAGACCACCAAACAGGCTGTGTGAGCAACAAGGCTGTTTATTTCACCTGGATGCAGGTGGGCTGAGTCCGAAAAGAGAGTTAGCGAAGGGAGGTGGGGTGGGGTGGTTTTATAGGATTTGGGTGGGTAAAGGAAAATTACGAAGGGGGTAATTCTCTGGCAGGGAGGGGCAGGGGTCACAACGTGCTCAGCCGGGGAGCTTTTGAGCCAAGATGAGCAAAGAGAAGGAATTTCACTAGGTAATGTCATCAGTTAAGGCAGGAACAGGCCATTTTCACTTCTTTTGTGGTGTAGTGTCATCGGTTAAGGCAGGAACTGGCCATCTGGATGTGTACGTGCAGGTCACAGGGGATATAATGGCTTAGCTTGGACTCAGAGGCCTAACATTACCCAAGCTACTGTTGAACTCCTGCGCTCAAGCAATCACCTTAGCCTCCCAAAGCACTTGGATTGCAGGTGTGAGCTACCTCTCACGGCACCCATGATTTACATACTTTTTGGAATTTTTTTGGTTTTGAGACAGAGCCTTTCTCTCTGTTGCCCAGGTTGGAGTGCAGTGGCATGGTCTCGGCTCACTGCAACCTCTGCCTCCCAGGTTCCAGTGATTCTCATACCTCAGCCCCCCAAGTAGCTGGGACTACAGGTACATGCCATCATGCCCAGCTAATTTTTGTATTTTTAGTAAAGACAGGGTTTCACCATGTTGGCCAGGCTGGTCTCAAACTCCTAACCTCAAGTGATCCACCCTCCTTGGCCTCCCAAAGTGCTGGGATTACAGACATGAGCCACCACACCTGGCCAATTTACATACTTTTTTTTTTTTTAATTGAGACAGAACCTCTCTGTCACCCAGGCTGGCGTGCAGTGGCGTGATCTCAGCTCACTGAAACCTCCACCTCCCAGTTTCAAGCAATTCTCCCACCTCAGCCTCTCAAGTATCTGGAACTACAGGTGTGCGCCACCATGCCCAGCTAATTTTTTTTGTATTTTTAGTGGAGACAGGGTTTCACCATGTTGGCCAGGCTGGTCTCAAACTCCTGACTTCAGGTGATCCACCCTCCTCGACCTCCCAAAGTACTGGGATTATAGGTGTGAGCCACCACGCCCGGCCAATTTACATAATTTTACAGCAAATATTTAACAAATGGATAGGATAGAGTAAAATAAATGACACCACAAATGTATATGTTTGATTCATAGAGATAAGTCATTTGTAGGATAATGGTTGAAAGTGTAGGCTCTAGAGTCAAACTACTAGAGTTTATAGCACACCTCTGCCATTTCCTTGTGATGTTAACGTGGGCAAGCTTTTATTTTATTTTATTTTATTTTTATTTTTTAGAGACAGGGTCTTACTCTGTCACCCAGGCTGGAGTAAAGTGACGCAAACATAACTCACTGAAGTCTCAAACTCCTGGGCTCAAGTGATCCTCCCACTACAGCCTCTCAAGTAGCTGGGATTACAGGCCCATCACCGTGCCCAGCTAATTTTTTTTTTTCTCATTTTTTTGTAGAGTCTCACTATATTGCCCAAAGTGCCAGGATTGCAGGTATGAGCCACCATGCCCAGCCGTGGGCAAGTTTTTTTTAACCCCTCTGTGCCTCATCTTTGAAATGGAGATAAGAAATCTATTTCATAGGACTGCTGCAAGGCTTAAGTGAATTGATACATATAAGGTGCTTAGAACAATAACAGGTACAGAGGTGTTCAAAGTTAGCAGCTCAGGCACTAGCCTTGTCATTTTCCTTCTCCTCCAAGGTTTTACAGCAAGCTAAAATGAAGCTGGAGTTCAGCCAGTCTTTGAAACCCTAAGAAACACAAGAAATTTAATAACAGTACTCGTAACGTAGTTACATCTTGCTTTACAGTTTACAAAGTGCTACCATGCCTTTTTTTCCTCATTTTGTTCTCATGAGAGCCTGGGGTAGAGGAAGAAGTTCCTGGCGGTGCCATTTTATAGGTGAGAAAACTTGACACTTAGAGGAAATGATTGAGCCAAGAAGGGTTTGATGGCAGCACAGTCTCTGTCTGCCCTGTCCTCACCTTCTGCAAGGGTAATAGTGAATCATAACTAATAGGAGGTACAGACACACCTTCTCCAAAGGTTTGTAGTTAAATAAGGCAGCATGCAGAATGGACAGACTGGAGACAGTCCTTACCCCATGTGGAACCTAGGACAGGTAAGGCCCTGTCCTCCACCCCAGAGCTCACTTTGAGAGCAGCTGGCCAGCAGTGGAAGACATTTGCTCAGCGATATATTAGTTATGGGTCCAAAAGCCCGATAATTCATTCCCAAGGCAATTAAGATAAACAGCAAATAGAGGATGGGTGCCTTGGCTCACACCTGTAATCCCAGCATTTCCAGAGGCTGAAGCAGGAGGATCACCTGAGGTCAGGAGTTCAAGACCAGCCTGGCCAACATGGTGAAACCCTCCCTCTACTAAAAATACAAAAATTCGCTGGGCATGGTGGCAGGCAGCCTCGGGAGGCTGAGGCAGAAGAATCGCTTGAACCCCAGAGGTAGGGGTTGCAGTGAGCCGAGATTGCGCCACTGCGCTCCAGCCTAGGTAGCAGAGCAAGACTCCATCTCAGAAAAAAAAAAGAAAACATCAAATAGTAATTTGCCAAAAGTTTTTGGCACTAGTGAACTTAGGTTTATTAAAACACATTGGTATTGGCCGGGCGTGGTGGCTCACGCCTGTAATCCCAGCACTTTGGGAGGCCGAGACGGGCGGATCACGAGGTCAGGAGATCGAGACCATCCTGGCTAACACGGTGAAACCCCGTTCTCTACTAAAAATACAAAAAATTAGCCGGGCGTGGTGGCGGGCACCTGTAGTCCCAGCTACTTGGGAGGCTGAGGCGAGAGAATGGCATGAACCCAGGAGGCGGAGCTTGCAGTGAGCCGAGTTGCCCACTCCAGCCTGGGCAACAGAGCAAGACTCTGTCTCAAAAAAAAAAAAAAACACATTGGTATTTAGACCCTGAGCAAACAAGAGTCCTCCAGTGCTCTGGGCACTGGGTGGGGCACAGGGGCATCACCAGGTACAAACTTGATCTTGACTAGGAGGCCCCTCTTTTGCCGACCTTAAGTCAGTAAATCGTAGCCACTCCTTTAGTCTTCAGCATTGGCATTTGATGGTTTTCCTCTTCTTCATGGCCCCGAATTTCTGCTTCTCTATTTATTATATTATCCATGTCCTTTATTGTAACTCACCTCACAACCTTTTCGGAAAAAAGGACTCAATACAGGAAAGGAAAAACAGCTACGATGTTTTGTTATTCTCTCGTTTTTCTTCTCTCTCCTTCCCCGTGCCCCCCGCCCCGCCCCGCCACCAGTGTTGACTGTCTGCTGAACGAAGCCTCTGACCTCAGGCTGGCCGTGAACGTAGTTCCTGAGAGATGGCAAACATGCCCAACAGCAAGCCCTGTGCCTCTCCGCTGGAGCTGTTCAACAGCATCGCCACACAAGGGGAGCTCGTGAGGTCCCTCAAAGCGGGAAATGCGTCAAAGGTACATGATTTTGCTGGATTCTCCACGAAGGCAGCTGAGCCTCCCAAGTCTATAGGGTTGTGTTACTCTAGAATAGATGGTTTCCTCAATGACTGAGGTGTTTTGGTTATTATTATTATTTTTTTTTTTTTTGAGAGGGAGTTTCACTCCTGTTTCCCAGGCTGGAGTGCAATGGCGCAATCTAAGCTCCCCGCAACCTCTGTCTCCCGGGTTAAAGCGATTCTTCTGCCTCAGCCTCCCAAGTAGCTGGAATTACAGGCATGCGCCACCACAACCAGCTAATTTTGTATTTTTAGTAGAGATGGGGTTTCATCATGTTGGTCAGGCTGGTCTCAAACCCCTGACTTCAGGTGATCTGTCCACATTGGCCTCCCAAAGTGCTGGGATTACCAGCATGAGCCACCACGCCAGCCTTGGTTGTTGTTTTAAATGTATTTTTCCCTTTATCAACATTGGGATGCCTGTGGTGTAAAGAGTCAGGGGTTCTCAAAGCCTTTGTGAAGTACAGTGGCCCTCCAACCCACCTCTCCCTATTTCCTGCTCAATTCTTTTAGCCGATCTTTTGGTTATGTACGCCCCATATCTGTAAATATTCTGCTTATTATATTGTTCCTTGTTGATTTTCAAGTTGGGAACTTTCAGGTGGAAATGAAGAATTCGTACTTCCACAACCACTTGCCATCCAGGCAGTCTCCCCATCTGTATTGCAGTTGTAGTTAGGTCAGTATCTGTACACTGACATTATTATGACCGTGGAAATAGATGTGGACAGCTGAACCATCAAGGATAGAATGAGTACTCTAACTTTCTCGCCCAGCTTTTGTTTTCTCTGGAGTTAATATTTGTCTTAATTTCTGTTTGCTTGACTTTTATGTCAGTGATACTAATGATAATGTATCTCCAAGCCCTTTCCCTGTCCAATGAATCTCCTTTCAACACACATCAACTAGTCTATCAGGTTCATCTTTTTGAGAAGATCTCTCCCAAAACCTTCTGCCTGCTTCCCTCTGGACTGGTGACTCTTGCGTCCTACACTGCCCATCTTGGCGTCTTTCTTCACTGTCGACCCAGGGGTTTCTTTCACCCTGTTGATTGGGTGCCCCCTTTCCTGCTCCTGCGTCTTATTCCTCTTTGCTTTACTCTTCAGGCAGAGCAAATCTTCCAATTGTTTCTGAAAAAATACTGCAAAGGAAATATTTCTGGGGGGATCTTGCCCATCTGAAAGTGTATGTATTTTACCTAAAATGTGATTGATAGCCAGGCTGGGTGTAGGGTTCTAGCATGGAAGTGATTTCCCCTGGAAATGCTGAAGCCACTGCTCTACTGGCACCTAGCTTCTGGGCTTGCTGCAGAGAAGCCAGTTGCCATTCCTTTGTTTTTTCTTTTTGGAAGTTGGCAGGATCTTCTTTGTTCCAATGTTCTGGAATTTCATGGCACGTGGGCTCAGTATGCCTTTCTTCCCTGCCCCATCCCCCGACCCTGCCCTGCAAGATGGAGTCTCGCTCTGTCACCCAGGCCGGAGTGTGGTGGCACAATCTCGGTTCACTGTGACCTCTGCCTCCTGGGTTCAAGCAGTTCTCCTGCCTCAGCCTCCCAAGTAGCTGGGATTACAGTTGTGTGCCACCAGGCCCGGCTAATTTTTGTATTTTTACTAAAGATGGGGTTTCGCTATGTTGGCCAGGCTGGTCTCGAACTCCTCACCTCGTGATCTGCCTGCCTCAGCCTCCCAAAGTGCTAGGATTACAGGCGTGAACCCCCACACTCAGCCTGCCTTTTAGACTAGAAACTCATGACCGTTAATTCTCAGAAATCATGATTTCTTTGATCTCTTCTGTTTTCTCTCTTCACAGACTTTTTTTTTTTTAATTCAGAGACTGTTTCTCTGATTTTCTAACCCTCCTATTTTCCATTTCTGCTGTCATTTTTAACCTCCAGGAGCATGTGTGCTCCCTGAAGTTTCCTCATAGCACTCTGCCCTGACTTACAGTACAGTGCCACCCTTTTCTGTCTGAGATCTTAATGGTAGTTTTCCATAAGTCCTCTACATCCTTTATAATCTCAGTTTCTTCCATCTTAATTTGTTTCCTACCTGCCTTTCATATTAGAGGCAATTCTCAAATGTTTGGTGTTTCTTGGCTGTTTGCTTGTGTTTTGGGGGGTGCAGTAAAAACTGCTGGATGTAGTTTTCGTTGGGAAGGAGCTTATCAACACGGGTTCCACTTCCTGGAGAGTGATCAGGCTGCTCCCCTTTTGTTGGGGAGTATCTTTCGTGTCAAGGTCTTTAGATGATCTTTTTTTTTTTTTTTTTTGGAGACAGAGTCTCGTTGCCCAGAGGCTGGAGTGCAGTGGTGCCATCTCAGCTCACTGCAAGCTCCGCCTCCCAGGTTCATGCCATTCTCTGGCCTCAGCCTCCCGAATAGCTGGGACTACAGGCACCCGCCACCACGCCCAGCTAACTTATTTGTATTTTTAGTAGAGACAGGGTTTCACCATGTTAGCCAGGATGATCTCGATCTCCTGACCTCGTGATCCACCCATCTTGGCCTCCCAAAGTGCTGGGATTACAGGGGTGAGCCACCGCACCCAGCCTGGATCTTTTCTTTAGTTAAGTGAGATTCCCTAGAGAAAGCTCCCCCAGTCCACTGTTCAGAGGGGGTGAGTCCCACTGCCAGCGTTCTACAGCTGAGTGGGAGAGAAGGGCTGGGCTGTGGGATCCTTCCCCGAAGCTCCCTATTCTCTGTGTGCTGCCAGTGCCCCAACTATGCAGATTGTCCCCAGTCTAGGGACCTGTAACTCTGTCCTCTCTCGACGTGAAACCTTGGAATGGAGGGGAAACTGTGACACTCCCAAAGGGGGTCTTAATAACTGCTTCTTGAAGAGACTTCAACCAGCACTCCTGTTTTCATAACCCACTTTCCCCCCAACTCCTGTAAGCGCCCAAGGTCACTAAGGTCTGAACCTTTGGGCGATTCCATAGCAGTGTACACTCGGTCACGTTCCGGTATTTCCACGGTGTCTTAGCATTTGTTTTTCTCTCATGCTCTTAGGCACTGGTCATTCATCAGCTTTTCAGCTTCTGAAACCTTGTTGCTGTCGCCCTCTTCTTGTTTCCTTTGTCCTTGTGGGATTCTTGTTTCCTTTGTCCTTGTGGGATTATGCTTTAAAAAAAAAAAAAAAAGTCTCTGCTTTCGTTGTAGTAGATTTCAGAAGTATCATCATCAATATGCATCTTTAACTAGAACATAAGCATTTCATTTCCTTCCGGGGTGACTCCACTCCTAGGTCCCCCAGCTTCTCTATGACTTCCATCACTTCTCTTTTTTTTTTTTTTTTTTTTTTGAAGCAGAGTCTCACGCTGTCGCCCAGGCTGTGCACTGGCGCGGTCTCAGCTCACTGCAACCTCTGCCTCTTGAGTTCAAGGGATTCTCCTGCCCCAGCCTCCTGAGTAGCTGGGACTATAGGCGCCCGCCACCACACCCGGCTAAATTTTGTATTTTTAGTAGAGACGGGGTCTTGCCGTATTGGCCAGGCTAATCTTGAACTCCTGACCTCAGGTGATCTGCCCGCCTCAGCCTCCCAAAGTACTGGGATGACAGGTGTGAGCCACCATGCCCAGCACAACTTCTATCACTTTCAACTCCTGTTACCTGTTATCTTTTCAAACACCTTGCTTGTCACCAGATGGTGTCAACCATCTCACATTCCCCAATAGTTTACTTTGACTATTTGGGACCCTGATTTAAACCATTATTTGTGTGTGTGTGTGTGTGTGTGTGTGTGTGTGTGTGTGTGTGTATTTTTTGAGACAGGGTCTTGCTCTTTCCGTGTTGGAGTGCAGTGGTGCAATCCTAGTTCAGTGCACCCTCGAACTCCTGGGCTGCCACCTTAGCCTACCAAGTTGCTGGGATTATAAATGTAAGCCACTGCACCCAGCTCATATTTTAAAGGAAATAAACAGTACTGACAGAAAGTAATGTCAAAAAAAAAAAAGAAGTACTTTTTCACAGAAACAGAGTTACTCACCAGGTAGGGCTCAAAAGATTAAACCAAGTTGTTTTAAAACAAAAGGATAAAATAAATAAAAGACCCAGTGGGGTTATGTAAGCCTATCATTTTGGGAAGTTGACAGTGATACTTTTGTCCATTAATATCAAATTTGAATAACAGTAAATGTTTTTGGTTTGTAATTCTTAGTGACTGCAGTTATGTTCATTATTTTAGTCAACTTGATACATTTTATAATAACTCTTCCAAGTGTATCATTTGACTAATGCAGTTGGCTGGCACACATTAAAGACATCAGAGGTTACACAATGAGACCAGAGTTAAGTGATGAAAACTTCAGAGGTACATTTGTATCTGACCCTGAAATGTCTTGGTAGTAGAAGCACTTAATGTTTTGGAAATTTTAAAAATTAACTTCTAGCAAAATAGTTTGAACCACACTGGGAGTGCCAGTTCTCTGAGAGGGCACCACCAGCTCTTCCTTGGCCTGCTGTTTATCTAGGCCATGGACCTCGACGGTCTTTTCTGCTCCCGTGTATCTAAAGAATAAGAGCCACGTCCTTCAGTAGCAGCAACTCATTAAAGCGGTGAGTTTCCTAGGGAGGAATAAGTCAGAATCTGAGGGCTGTGAGGGGAAGTAGTTTGAACAGGACTGAAGAAGCAATGCTAGGTCTTAGGTATTAAGAAAGAAAGCAGAGCCTTTTTCTTCTCTTTTTTGTTTAAGTAACTTCTAAAATCAAAATATACCATTCATACAGAAAAATATGCTAATCATAAGCAGGCACCTCACTGTATTTTCACAAAATGACCACACCTGTGTAATCATCACCCAAATCAAGAGCAAGCATAGAGCACCTAGAAGCCACCCTCACGCCCCTCAGCCTCTGCCATGACTCCTCCCACCAGGGGTAGCTCTACATGTGTTTGAACTGTATGTAATCAGGTAGTATACAGTTTTGTGTCTGGCTTTTTTTTTTTTTTCTGAACATCAACTTTTGGCCAGGCTCTGTGGCTCATGCCTATAATCCCAGCACTTAGGAGACCAAGACAGGAGGATCGCTTGAGGCCGAGAGTTTGGGACCAGCCTAGACAACATAGTGAGATCCTGTCTCTACAAAAAATTTAAAAATTAGCCAGACATGGTGGCATGGTGGCACACACCTGTAGTTCCAGCTACTCAAGAGACTGAAGTGAGACCCTGTCTTAAAAAAAAAAAAAAAAACTGATATTCTGGGGTTTTTTGGGGGTAGGAGTCTCACTTCATCACCCAGGTTGGAGTATAGTGGCACAGTCTCGGCTCACTGCAACCTCTGCCTCCCAGGCTCAAGCAGTCCTCTCACTTCAGCCTCCCGATTAGCTAGGAACACAGGTGTGTGCCACCATACCTGGCTAAATTTTTCTATTTTTGGTAGAGACAGGGTTTTGCTGTGTTGCCCAGGCTGGTCTCGAACTTACGAGCTCAGACGATCCGCCCGCCTTGGCCTCCCAAAGTGCTGGGATTACAGGCATGAGCCATTGTACCCAGTTAACATCAGCTTTGAATCCTGTTTCAGTGTCCTAGTTCAGACACTGATTAAGACTGATTATAAGAAAATAGATAAGGTGAGCCTGCTTGTCTTATTTCAGTACTATTCCAAAATGCAGATGGTCCTTGAGCAGGGACGTTGGTTAAATGTTTGACTTTCGCACAGCCTCCTAGTTACAAGCAGAATTAGACCAGATAGAGTATGAAATGTCAACAAAGCTAGTTATTAAGGGATACTGACCGCAGTGTACTTCAAAGCAAGGTAAGCCTTCCCATAGATAATTGGATAGATTATAGGTACTAAACTTACTTTTTGCAAGTACTGAGCCTAGGTACTACAGAAATGAGATGGGTGGAACATACTTACCTGCCTAACCTGGGCAAACGTCTCATCTATGAATTGTATCCATTGGGTTACTGATTCCACAAATCTGGCTCATTTTAATGATGAGTCTCAGATAATTTTTTAGTTTGAAACACAGATCTCTCCAGAATCGCAGTCCTCTATGGCCCAGGTGCTGTATCTGATGGAACTGTTATCTCTGAATGGAGGTTGATGTTTATAGAACATTCTGTATGTGGTAAAAGGAATTTAAGGAGATTTAAAAGAAAGAATGTTCTGTATAAACTATAAGTGGAAATGTTTGTATTTCCCTTGGTAAGCAAATTGGACTGTGTATATTCTTTGTGATCTAATCTAGCAAGGCCAATTACCGGAATAGAGCTTTAGGGCATAGCATGACTAATCGGCTTAATTAGGCCTGCTTTTCTAAACTCCAGGCTTCTAGGGATGGCCACTATGAACTCCTGCAAAAGAGTCTTTAATAGACTTCCAGACTACCCAAGGGTACATTTTACCTTTGGTTTTTTGGTTGTTTGTTTGTTTGTTTTCAAGATAGTTTGATAAGACTCTAAAATGTGGTGATATAACTATTTCCCAATGAATCCCTCCTTAATTTATAACCTGAGAGCCTACATTTTTTGTCCTTGCTTTTATCTGTTTTAGTTGCTCTTACTATCCTTAGTGGCATCATTGGTTAAGTTTCCATAAATATTCATCTCAACCTGTGTGGAATGTAAAAACTAGTTCCAACGCAGAACTCCAGGATGCTCAGTTAAAGGAGCTTGTCACACACATTCTCTGGCATCAGTGGTGGTTGAGAAATCTCTAGTATATGAACTTTGTCATAAATGACAGTATATGTTGTGTCACTGCTACTGTCCCAAAGTGTTCGTCATAGCACTAGAATAACAGATGAAAATGAAGTGTTTTTGAACTGATGACTTGCTGTGATTCTATGGGTAAACTCCTTTACCTCTCTGAGTCTCAGATTCTTGAGCTGGAAAAGGACAGTGACAACAGTGCCTGCCTTGTAGAGTTGTGACACTAACTAATGTAACGTGTGTGAAAGCATTCAACATAGTGCCTGCCATAGAATAGGCATTCAGCAAATATCAGCGATTAGTAATGTTTTTAGCCATCACTTTTGTTTCCTTTCTCAGGATGAAATTGATTCTGCAGTAAAGATGTTGCTGTCGTTAAAAATGAGCTACAAAGCTGCCATGGGGGAGGATTACAAGGCTGACTGTCCTCCAGGGAACCCAGCACCTACCAGTAATCATGGCCCAGATGCCGCAGAAGCTGAAGAGGATTTTGTGGACCCATGGACAGTACAGACGAGCAGTGCAAAAGGCATAGACTATGATAAGCTCATTGGTACGTCCTCTGCTTTCTTTCCAGAAAAAGCTTCAACTTTTAGAAGTGGTCCCATTGAGTTGATTCCATTGATGTTTTTAAATTTTGAAGTAATCATAAATTCAGTGAAGCTTCAATGCCAAGTAAAAATGGATCCTAAAACCTTTTGATTGTGCATTATATTCCCAAAGGATTATTTTAAAATAAAATAACAAAATATATTTCAAAATAATGATCTATAGTAGACAGCTTGGTAGAAGCTTTTCCCCTTTTTTGAGCGCTTCAGAACTTGGGAAAGATCTATTGAAATGGCCGTTTATAACATTTAGTAGCTACAAGTCAATCATAGATTACTTAGGTTTCACCTCCAGTGATACTGACTATGGACCTAGAAGGCTGGAAGTCAGCTTAAGAGCGGTGACTTCTCACAGCGGGCCAGTTCCCACCATCAGGCCCTTCTTGAGGGCCTTCCTGCTCAGAAAGACTGTTGCCATTCCATTGAAGTCTTTACTCTGAGATCATTACTAATTGTCAGAGAAGAAACAGAACTAAAATGTTTTCATCTAAGTCAAACCCATTTTCCATGATTTGAGTATAGACTGTCAATCTATCAATGAAGGAAAATTCACTTGAAGACAGACATTAATTCAGTTCAACAAATAAAGAGTGTGAGCAATCATGGTTGCCAATGAATATAAATTTTACCTTAATAAACAAATATATATATATATATACATATTTTTATATGTGTATGTTTATATTTTGTTCAAAAGTTGCTAGCTGGACTGCATTGTGGGTATGTTTCCCATCAGAATCCAGTCTCAGGCAAAACAGCATTTTGTGTTGTAATTTATTTCCTGTTTTGTTGGTTGTGTTGATCTCAGCTGTTGTTTTAATACAAAGACCTTTTACTTTATGTTGGGGGTAAGGACCTTTAGCAGAAGGCCTAAAGAGGTTTGTGTTCATTAAGATTGTGCATGGATCACTCACTTTTCACCTTCATTTCAGTAATATCTAATCACTAAACCTCCTGCCACCTAAGAAAGTCATCTCTTCCTTTTTTCCAGTTCGGTTTGGAAGCAGTAAAATTGACAAAGAGCTAATAAACCGAATAGAGAGAGCCACCGGCCAAAGACCACACCGCTTCCTGCGCAGAGGCATCTTCTTCTCACACAGGTCAGGGGCTCTTCACCACAGGCCTTCTTACCTGTCCTCTTCTTTTAGTTCAAAAAGTCACAAGACACTCCCTTCATAAGCCACCTGGTACTGTGGGAAAAGTGATGGCCAGCTGTGGGAAGACTGACATCCATCTTCTGTCCTGTCAGTAGCCCACTGTGGGATCATGCTTGTCCATTCACCCTCAGGCTCTTAGTTTTTTCATTTGTAGATTGCCCACCTCACAAGGTGAGAATCATATTAATAGCAGATGAAATTCTTCCCAGATTACTTGCTGTGAATAAATTGTAAAATGTCATGAAAACAAAAGAGAATAATATGTCCAAGTTCAGCATTTCCCACACGACAACAGTAGACTTCCTAAAATTCCAAACCCTCTTCCTCCTATTGTATCAACTTGCTCATAAATAATACCAAGAGACGAACCAACAGAGAATGCATGGAACAGATTATCTGTACCTTAGGCCATAAATTCCATGCAGATAACATCAAGATATGGGCAGGTTCCAAAAGAGTTTCTGCCTCTCCCAACCTACAGTTAATCTGGGTTGAGGCAGCCCCATTTTTGAAGCTGTGTCCATGGAATTTATGATCTGAGGTAGGATTGTTCTGTTCTACTGGCGCGTCACGGTTACAGGAGAACACCCCCAGGACAGAGCCCAGCAGTCTGCCCAAACACTTCAAATTCTACCTGCAAAGAGCTCCAGGCCTTGCTCAACCCACTTTCTGGGCAGATTAAAGTATACAACTAAGTGGGTTTTAGTATATTCACAAGGTTGTGAGACCATCATGACTATCTAATTCCAAAACATTTCATCACCCCAAAAGGAAACTTCCACCCATTAACCCATTTATGCCAGAAGTTGCAAAAATTTTTTGTGAAAAATCAGACCTTGGCAATCACCTTGAGCAGTAAGATATAAATAACTCCCACAAGTTTAGCATTCCAGTTATGGAACACTAGGTATAAATGGGTTAACAATCATTCCCCACTTCTCCCTCCCCACTGGCAACTATTAGTCTGCTCTCTCTATATCTAGATTTAGGCATTTCATATAAATGGGATCATATAACCTGTGGCCTTTTGTGTCTGGCTTCTTTTACTTGGCATAACATTTTCAAGGTTCCTCCATGTTGTAGCATGTATCCATACTGGATTCCTTTTTATTGCCAAATAATATCCCATTGAGTGGATATACCTCATATTTTGTTTATTCATTCATTACTTGATAGACATTTGAGTTATTTTCACTTTTTGGTTATCAGCAATGCTGCTCTGACCATTTGAATACAAGTTTTTGGGTGGATATATGTTTTCAATTCTCTTGGGCATATACCTTAAAATAGAATTAATGACTTATGTAGTAATTCCATGTTTAACTCTTTGAGGAACTGAGACTTTTCTACAGCAACTGTATCATTTTACTTTCCCACCAGCAACATAGGAAGCTTCCCATTTTTCCACATCCTCACCCACTCTTGTTATTTTCCATGTTGTTGTGTTTTATCGCCATCCTAATGGGTGTGAAATAGTATCTCATTGTGGTTTTGGTTTGTATTTCCCTAATGACAAGGATGTTGAGAATCTTTTCATGTGCTTATTAACAATTTTTATATCTTTAGAGAAGTGTCTATTCAGATCATTTGCCTACTTTTTAATTGGGTTGTCTTTTTATTGTTAGCTATAATAGTTCTTTATATATTCTGGATACTAGTTTCTTATTCATATATTACTTGCTCCCATTATATAGGTTGTCTCTTCACTCTACTGATAAGTCCTTTGAAGTATAAAAGTTTTTCATTTTGATGAAGTCCAATTTATTTTATCTTTGATTGATTGTGTTTTTGGTGTCATATCTGAGAAACCACTGACCAATCAAAGGTAGTGAAGATTTACAGCTATAGTTTCTTCTCAGAATTTTGTGGTTTTAGCTCTTTCGTTTCAGTTTCTGATCCTTTTTGAGTTAATTTTTGTTATTTGTGAGGTACAGCTCCAACTTCATTCTTTTGCTTGTGGGTATCCAATTGTCCCAGCACTCTTTTTTGAAAAGACTATTCTTGGCCAGGTGCTCACGCCTGTAATCCCAGCACTTTGGGAGGCTGAGATGGGCAGATCACGAGGTCAGGAGATCAAGACCATCCTGGCTAACACGGTGAAACCCATCTCTACTGAAAATACAAAACATTAACCGGGCGTGGTGGTGGGTGCCTGTAGTCCCAGCTACTCAGGAGGCTGAGGCCAGAGAATGGCATGAACCCGGGAGGTGGAGCTTGCAGTGAGCCCAGACCTCGCCACTGCACTCCAGCCTGGGCTACAGAGCGTGACTCCGTCTCAAAAAAAAAAAAAAGAAAGAAAGAAAAGAAAAGACTATTCTTTCCTTACTGAATCTTTTGGCATTTTTGCCAAAAATCAATTGGCCATATATTTAAGGATTTCATTCTAGACTCTCAATTCTATTCCACTTATCTATATGTCTATCCTTATGCTAGTACTACATAATCTTGATTACTGTAGCTCTGTAGTGAGTTTTGAAGTTAGAAAATGTGAGTACTCAAACATGGTTCTTTTTCAAGATTGTTTAGGTGTTCTGGGTTCCTTGCATTTCCATATGAATTTCAGCTTTTCCATTTCTGCAAAAGCAGCAGCTGGGATTTTGATAGGGATTGCACTGAATCTGTAGACTCATTTGTAGAGCATTGCCATCTTAAAATATGAATTCATCTAATCCACGAACATGGGATGTCTTTTCACTTCTTTCATTTCTTTCATTGATGTTTTATAATTTTCAGTGTATAGGTTTTGCACTTCTTTGGTTAGATTTATTCATAAGAATTTTTATCTTTTTAATGCTATTGTAAATGGCATTTTCTTAATCTCATTTTCAGATTGTTTGTTGCTACTATATAGAAATACAACTGATGGCCGGGAATGATGGCTTACGCCTCCCAACACTTTGGGAGGCCAAGGCGGGTGGATCACTTGAGGTCAGGAGTTCGAGACCAACCTGACCAACATGGTGAAACCCCGTCTCTACTAAAAACACAAAATTAGGCAGGCTTGGTGGCAAGTGCCTGTAATCCCAGCTACTCAAGAGACTGAGGCAGGAGAATCACTTGAACCCAGGAGGCAGAGGCTGCAGTGACCGGGGATCGTGCCATTGCACTCCAGCCTGGGCAACAAGAGCAAAACTCTGTCTCAAAAAAAGAAAAAAAGCCGGGCGCGGTGGCTCAAGCCTGTAATCCCAGCACTTTGGGAGGCCGAGACGGGCGGATCACGAGGTCAGGAGATCGAGACCATCCTGGCTAACACGGTGAAACCCCGTCTCCACTAAAAATACAAAAAATTAGCCGGGCGAAGTGGTGGGCACCTGTAGTCCCAGCTACTCGGGAGGCTGAGGCAGGAGGGCTAAGTAAACCTGGGAGGCGGAGCTTGCAGTGAGCTGAGATCCGGCCACTGCACTCCAGCCTGGGCGACAAGCGAGACTCCGTCTCAGAAAAAAAAAAAAAAAAAAAAAGAAAGAAAGAAATACAATTGATGTTTGTGTATTAATCTTATATCCTGAAATTTTGCTGAGTTTAATAGCTCTAAAAGAAAGAAAGAAATACAATTGATGTTTGTGTATTAATCTTATATCCTGAAATTTTGCTGAGTTTATTAGCTCTAGTGCTTTTTCTCTTTTTGCTGATTCTATAGGATTTTCTACGTATAGGATTGTATCTCCTATGATTAGAGACAGTTTTACTTCCTCCTTTCCAATTTGGATTTTTTTCTTTCCTAATTTCTCTGACTAGAACTTTCAACCAACTAAACTAACCGGCCAACAACCTAGAACTTTCAATAGGATGTTGAGTAGTAGTGTAGAAAGTGAGCATCCTGGCCGGGCGCGGTGGCTCACGCCTGTAATCCCAGCACTTTGGGAGGCTGAGGCGGGTGGATCACGAGGTCAGGAGATCGAGACCATCCTGGCTAACATTGTGAAACCCTGTCTCTACTAAAAATACAAAAAACTAGCCGGGCATGGTGGCGGGCGCCTGTAGTCCCAGCTACTCGGAGGCTGAGGCGGGAGAATGGCGTGAACCCAGGAGGCAGAGCTTGCAGTGAGCTGAGATCGCGCCACTGCACTCCAGCCTGGGCGACACAGCAAGACTCCGTCTCAAAAAAAAAAAAAAAAAAAAGAAAGAAAGTGAGCATCCTTGTCTTATTCCTGATCTTAGGAGAAAAGCTTTCAGTAAAGACTGAATATACACCATTTAGTATAATGTTAGCTGTGGGCTTTCTATATACCCTTCAACATGTTAGTGTTTTTATTATGAAAAGATACTAGATTTTATCAATTGCATTTTCTGTGTTTATTGAGATGATCGTGTGGATTTTGGCCTCTGTTCTATTAGTATGGTATATCACATTGACAGGTTTTTGTGTGTTGAATCAACCTTGCATTCCTGGACAAATTCCACTTAATCATGGTGTTAAAAATCAATTGATTTTCAATCATGGTGTATAATCCCTTTTATATGTTGCTGGATTTGGTTTGTGAGTTGCTGAGGATTTTTACATCTGTGTTCATAAGGGATATTGGTCTATAGTTTTCTTTTATTGTCTTTGGTTTGGTATCAGGGTAATACTGGCCTCATAGAATGAGTTGGGAAGTATTTCTTATTCATTTTTTTTGGAAAAGCTTGGGAAGAATTGGTGTTAATTCTTTTTTGAACATTTGATAGAATTTACCAGTGAAAATGGGGTTTTGGGCTTTTCTTTGTAGAAAGTTTTTTCATTACTAATTCAGTCTGTTTGTTTGTTCCAGATCTGTTCATATTTTCTATTTCTTCTTGGGTTCATTTCAGTAGTTTGTTTCTAGGAATCTGTCTATTTCATCAAGATTATCTAATATATCGGTATACAGTTATTCATAGTATTCCCTTATACAGTAATCCTTTTTATTCCTATAAGATCAGTAGTAATGCCCCTTCTTATATTCCTGATTGTGGTAATTTGAGTATTCTCTTTTATTCTACCCCCCAACACACACACACCCAGTCACTTCAGTTCAAAGTTTACTAATTTTATTGGTTTGTAGTCAACGTTTTTTATCTTAGCATTGCATGGTTCTTCTCACTGCTTTTGTGACTTATTTATTGACTGCAGTATAGTAATCCTGTAGCCACTTGGCTTAGGAAAGCATAGGACCTGAGGCATTTGCCCATTCTCAAATTTCAGACTGCCCCTCTGTCTAATTTTGTCATCTATAAAATTAGAGATTAAATGAGATCTACCATGCACAGTCAAGCTTCAAGTGGTGGGCAGGTGACTGGGTTCCCTCAGTAGCTGAATGAGCCTCTCCTGGAACCCATCCTCATAAAACAGGAGCTCAAAATTGGAGCCCAGTAAATTTCTGCACGCTTGTCAGGAGCACCTCACCCCAGGACCGAGCACACAGTGAGTTCTCAGATGCTCCCCATAAACACAAAAAAAGCAGCTTGTGGGACAGCTGCATTTTTTTTCTCTTCTGTGAGCCCATAAAAGTTTAATTTGGTTAGTTGTGAGAACCAAAGAAAGATTCTTTCCTTCCAAAATTATGGGTTATTTTCTTTCCTTATTTCAAAAGCAGTATGTGAGCATTTCATGGGAAAAAAATGAAAACTAAGCCCAAAAACCAGAACACCCACAATTGTATCTGTCCAGAGATAAGCAATGGTGACCCTTGGCTTGGGGAATATAAGGAGAAGTCACTTTCAGAATACCGTTCTCTAGATTCTCCTACCCAGACCTCTGGAAGAGGTAGTTATTCATCTTGTATTTGGGGACACTTTACCCAGAAACAAAGGACATTCATCCTGGAGTGTTGGTTTCCCACCCTGCTGAACATTGGAACCCCTCATGGAGCTTTTTAAAAATACACATTCCCGGCTGGGTGCAGTGGCTCACACCTGTAATCCCAGCACTTTGGGAGGCCGAGGTGGGTGAATCACGAAGTCAGGAGTTCGAGACCAGCCTGGCCAACATGGTGAAACCCTGTCTCTACTAAAAATACAAAAAATTAGCTGGGCGTAGTATCGGGTGCCTGTAATCCCAGCTACTCGTGAGGCTGAGGCAGGAGAATCGCTTGAACCTAGGAGGCGGAAGTTACAGTGAGCAGAGATCGCGCCATTGCACTCCAGCCTGGATGACAGAGTGAGACTCTGTCTCAAAAATAAATAAATAAATAAATAAATAAACACACACAGTCCCAGAGAGCGCCTCAGATCCATTCAATCAGTCTCTGGAGGTGGGGCGCAGGCAGCTGTGATTGGAAGCATCCTGGTGGGGAGGGGTATGACTCTAGAGTGACTTGCAGATGAGGATACCTAGTCCCAAGCTGGCTGAGGGGCCCAGATAGATCTCCAACTGGGGACGTGACAAACTCCCAGAGGAAAATTCTTACTTTCCCTACTAAGCCAGGACTGTCTGGTCCCATGCAGTTTGCCTGGTCTTGGTCTGAGAGTCCTCGGGGCTGGGTGATTCTGAGCAAAGATCATATGGTGTTGGCCTGGTATCCCCAGGGAAGTGTACGAAGGTCACAGTGTGTCGGCACTGATGTTTGGAGGGATTCCAAGAGTCCCAGTAACTACACAACTGGATCCATCTTTTCAACACACACATTATTCCAAACCTACACTTTTTTTTTTTTTCCCCAGATGGAGTCTCGCTCTGTCACCCAAGCTAGAGTGCAGTAGCGCAATCTTGGCTCACTGCAAGCTCTGCCTCCCGGGTTCACGCCATTCTCCTGCGTCAGCCTCCCGAGTAGCTGGGACTACAAGAGCCCGCCACCATGCCCGGCTAATTCTGTGTATTTTTAGTAGAGTCAGGGTTTCACCGTGTTAGTCAGGATGGTCTCAATCTGCTGACCTCGTGATCCGCCTGCCTCGGCCTCCCAAAGTGCTGGGATTACAGGCGTGAGCCAGCGTGCCCGGCTGCAAACCTATACATGTTATCTTTTAAAACACTCACAGGAGAAACCATTTCAGTAGAAGTTTCCTGTCATTTTTATATCATAAGCACTAAAGGTAACACACTCTAGTTATTCATGTTGTTTTGTCTCTGTCTATGTTTTTCATTTCCAAAAGTACACTAGTGCCTTGATATTTTTCTCAGAAAATCACACTCTTCCTCTTCTCCTTTTTCTTTAGAGACATGAATCAGGTTCTCGATGCCTATGAAAATAAGAAGCCGTTTTATCTGTACACGGGCCGGGGCCCCTCTTCTGAAGCCATGCATGTGGGTCACCTCATTCCGTTTATTTTCACAAAGTAAGTATTGGATCTTATGGCTTTTCTTACTCTCTCAGTGAATTGAGAATGTTGCTTATAAACCATGTTTAGAACTGACAAGATCATGCTAGTTCATTTGCTGAGCAACCAAGATACCAAGAGTTGGCACTTTTCTGGCTTCCGTTCACGTTGTTCCTGGGCTCACTTTAGAGCACCATGGATGATGGGGAGAGTGAAGCTTTGGAGTGAGCCAGGCCTGCTCCTCTTCTCCTCCTGCTCCCTGTCCGCATGGCCGTGGGCCGGCTACTTCTCTGAGCCTGAGTTTCCACATCTGCAAGATGAGAGTGAAGTTACCTACCTCATAAAACTGTTGTAAGGCTTCAAAACAAAGTGTGTAGAGCAGCTAACACAGAGCATACAGGGCCATCTTGGTCAATAAGCGGTAGTAGACCTTATCATTATCCATAGTCAAATTCATATCATGATTCAAATTGTGATTTTGTAGGCAAGGAAGTTTTAACATACATTGTAAGTAGGAACTGTGTTTTCAGATGGCATTCCTCCACAGGGGAGATGAGACGTTAGCTTTCTTCCCCTGTGTTTCTTTAGGTGGCTCCAGGATGTGTTTAACGTGCCCTTGGTCATCCAGATGACGGATGACGAGAAGTATCTGTGGAAGGACCTGACCCTGGATCAGGCCTATGGCTATGCTGTGGAGAATGCCAAGGACATCATTGCCTGTGGCTTTGACATCAACAAGACTTTCATATTCTCTGACCTGGACTACATGGGGTAAGGAGAAAACGTCTGGCTGCCTTTTCAATATGTAGAGGTGGATGTCAAGTTGTCGTGACCACAGCGAAATTCAAAACACCTGAAATGGTCTTAAGACCTGGTAAATGGGCCGGGCGCGGTGGCTCAAGCCTGTAATCCCAGCACTTTGGGAGGCCGAGACGGGCGGATCACGAGGTCAGGAGATCGAGACCATCCTGGCTAACACAGTGAAACCCCATCTCTACTAAAAAATACAAAAAAAAAAACTAGCCGGGCGAGGTGGTGGGCGCCTGTAGTCCCAGCTACTCGGGAGGCTGACGCAGGAGAATGGCGTGAACCCAGGAGGCGGAGCTTGCAGTGAGCTGAGATCCGGCCACTGCACTCCAGCCTGGGCAAAAGAGCCAGACTCCGCCTAAAAAAAAAAAAAAAAAAAAAAGACCTGGTAAATGTTCTTCTTCCTTTATTAAATGCTATGAGCGGCCAGGCATGGTGGCTCATGCCTGTAATCCCAGCACTTTGGGGAGGCCAAGGTGGGCGGATCACGAGGTCAGGAGTTCGAGACCAGCCTGACCAACATGGTGAAACCCCATCTCTTTTAAAAATACAAAAATTAGTCAAGTGTGGTGGCATGCACCTGTCACCCCAGCTACTCAGGAGGCTGAAGCAGGAGAATCGCTTGAACCCGGGAGGTGGAGGTTACAGTGAGCCGAGATCGCACCATTGCACTCCAGCCTGGGTGACAGAGCGAGACCCCATCTCAAAAAGGAAAAAAAAAAGAAAAAAAAAGCTATGAGCTGGTTTATTGGTTTTATTTGCCAATAATTTTGAAAGTGAAAAGCTGTGTATATAAATAGAAAGGATTAAGTGATATCAGTATCTTAAAGACTCAATTATTCCCTCCATAATTACATTTACAGAAATTTAAAATATGGGCTCAGCCACAGCATGATGGCATCTCAGATTTTCATCCTCAGTTGTGCCAGGAAGTCCTGCCTTGCCATTTCTCACCAAGGATAGTCAGTCTTCCAGAGTTATGTCTTCCTCCTTTTCAACGCACCTTTTCCTCACAGAGAAAAGACTCAGTGGTTACACAGTTCCCTCAGTCTAGTTCTTTTAATCAGCCATTTAATAAACCAAAATATTTCATTCTGAAAATCCTTCAAGTTTCATCCCAAATGAATACCAAGAAATGTGTTAGAAAGATAAGACTTTGGTCAACCATTACAAGAAGGATGCTATCTAGCTCAACAAATATTTCTTGAGCACCTAAGTTGTGGTACTCCCCTAAGGCGAGATACTCTCCTAAGTCATGGTACTCCCCTAAGGCGTGGTACTCCCCTAAGCTGTGGTACTCCCCTAGGGCATGGTACTCCCCTAGGGCAAGGTACTCCACTCCCCTAAGATGTGTTACTCCTCCCCTAAGGTGATTCCCCAGGAGGAGTGGGTTCATTGCTGTGCTCCTGCAGCCCAGGTTGGGCTCTGAGCAGGTCCTCCCATGTTAGCTCACCATCAGAGAGCAGGCCGAGGCAGGATAAGAGGGATACTAGAGGGGCAGGTGAGCAGTGAGCACAGGCGGACTTGCTTAGAGCCACATCCCCAGGACGTTCCCTTTTATAATACCTTAAAATTGAGTAGTGGCAGCCAGGCGCGGTGGCTCACGCCTATAATCCCAGCACTTTGGGAGGCTGAGGTGGGTGGATCACAAGGTCAGGAGATCGAGACCATCCTGACTAACACGGTGAAACCCTGTCTCTACTAAAAATGCAAAAATTAGCCAGTTGTGGTGGCACGCTCCTGTAGTCACAGCTACTTGGGAGGCTGAGGCAGAAGAATCGCTTGAACCTGGGAGACGGAGGTTGCAGTGTGCTGAGATCATGCCACTGCATTCCAGCCTGGGCGACAGTGAGACTCCATCTCAAAAAAAACAACAAGAAAACAAAACTGGGTAGTGGTTTTATATCCATTGAGAGCAATGTATGCCCTGATAGGAAATCTTGCCCTTCTATCAGCCAGTAAAACTGTTAGCTTTCTGGCCGGGCGCGGTGGCTCAAGCCTATAATCCCAGCACTTTGGGAGGCCGAGACGGGCGGATCACGAGGTCAGGTGATGGAGACCATCCTGGTTAACATGGTGAAACCCCGTCTCTACTAAAAAATACAAAAAACTAGCCGGGCGAGGTGGCGGGCGCCTGTAGTCCCAGCTACTCGGGAGGCGGAGGCAGGAGAATGGCGTGAACCCGGGAGGTGGAGCTTGCAGTGCTAATTTTACGTGTTAGAATTTTTTTTTTTTTTTTTTTTTTTTTGGAGATGGAGTCTCACTCTGTCACCCAGGCTGGAGAGTGCAATAGCATGATCTCATCTCACTGCCAGCTCCGCCTCTCAGGTTCACACCACTCTCCTGCCTCAGCCTCCCAAGTAGCTGGGACTACAGGTGCCCGCCACCACACCCGGCTAGTTTTTTGTATTTTTAGTAGAGACAGGGTTTCACTGTGTTAGCCAAGATGGTCTTGATCTCCTGACCTTGTGATCCACCCACCTTGGCCTCTCAAAGTGCTGGGATTTCAGGCGTGAACCACCGTGCCCGGCACCTATTAGATCTTTTAAAATTACTTCTCTTTGTTCAACCATGTGAGCATGGAGGCCCTGTGGCATCCTTGAAGGAAGGGAAATAGAGATCCAGATCCTGGCACCTGGGTTTAGTGGCTGCATGTCATAGCAGCCATGTCCATGAAATGGGATCAAACAAGAGCATAGATGTTGTCATTAGTATAATTTTCTTTTTTTTTTTTCTTTTGGTTTTTTTTTTTTGTTTTTTGTTTGTTTGTTTGTTTTAGAGACAGAGTCTCACTCACGGGTTTTGCCATGCTGGCCAGGCTGGTCTCGAATTCCTGACCTCAAGTGATCCCCCAGCCTCGGCCTCCCAAAGTGCTGGGATTACAGGTGTGAGCCACTGTGCCCAGCCGTATTAGTATAATTTTCATGTCACTTTATTTCCTTATTCTCACCCCATTCCATACAATGATTCAACTGATTGAACATCGGCAGAGACAACCATGAGTTCTGCTTCTCCCTTTCCAATCAGGCAATGCTGCTGGCATTGCCCAGTAGCTGCTATCCTCTTCCCACACCACCGCTGCCCCCACCAGCCACTGATCTCCCTAAAACTCGGAGCTAATCTCATCTTCCACTTGCGGGTCTTTCCCAGTTCTCCTCCTTAGATGACATTGAGAATTCTCACCTTTCGCTTAGCACACGAGCCCTTTCGTGATTGGCCCTGTGTTCCTCTCCAGTGTCACTGCTACCTCCAGCTCAGTGGAACAGCTTGCAGTTCCACATCCCTCTCCTTTGTACGTGCTCTGTGCTGCCCAGAATTCCCACCCACTCTCCTGACCCTGCCACCCCCAGCCTAGCTAATTCTTACACTTTCTTTTTTTTTTTTTTTTTTTTTGAGATGGAGTCTTGCTCCGTCGCCCAGGATGGAGTGCAGTGGCGGGATCTTGGCTCACTGCAAGCTCCGCCTCCTGGGTTCACGCCATTCTCCTGCCTCAGCCTCCCGAGTAGCTGGGACTACAGGCGCCCGCCACCACACCCAGCTAATTTTTTGTATTTTTTTTTAGTAGAGACGGGGTTTCACCATGTTAGCCAGGATGGTCTCGATTTCCTGACCTCGTGATCTGTCTGCCTCGGCCTCCCAAAGTGCTAGGATTACAGGCGTGAGCCACCGTGTCCAGCCAATTCTTAACACTTTCTTCCAAAGGCATGATCAAGCATCACCTTTTCCTAGGAGCTTTCCCTCCCCACAGCCAAATTTAGATGCCCCTCTCTGGTCCTCCATCACGCTGGGCCTTACCTCTGCCACATCTGGTACAGCGTGGCCCTCTCCCCGCTAGCTGAGTAAGACACACAGTTCCTGAATTTGCTGTCTGTGGCCCATCCCCTCCTGGGCCCCACAGACACAGCAGAAGCAAAGCTGAGCCCCTTCCTCGATGGATATAAATGCTGGTGGCAAGACAGGAGCAACTGCCCGTAATAGTCCATGAAGCTGATTCAGCCAGTAGATGCGCGATGGGGTAGATGAACTTTGGAACAGTCCACGTGAAAAGACCACCACCTGAGCAACCCCACTGTCAGCGCTCTCTGAATATGGAGTGAGGCCGCTGTTCCCCGTGCTGTCTCTTTGGCAACTGCGGTTGCAGCTCCTGATCAGCCTCCACCTTCACTAAGTAAGAACTTCCCTTTTTTTTGTTTGTTTTGTTTTGTTTTGTTTTGTTTTGTTTTCCTTTTTTGAGATGGAGTCGTGCTCTGTCGCCCAAACTGAAGTGCAGTGGCGCGATCTCGGCTTACTGCAATCTCTGCCTTCTGGGTTCAAGCAATTCTTGTGCCTCAGCCTCCTGAGTAGCTGGGATTACAGGCGCCCACCACCACACCCAGCTAATTTTTGTATTTTTAGTAGAAACAGAGTTTCACCATTTTGGCCAGGCTGGTCTCGAACTCCTAACCTCAAGTGATCCGCCTGCCTCGACCACCCAAAGTGCTGGGATTACAGGCATGAGCCACTGCACCTAGCCAGGAACTTCCTTTTTCTTTACAAACATGGAGTAAAGATGAAACCCAGACAGTACGTCAACCAAAAGGGTCTATGATATCTTTTCTTGAAAGGCATTTTATGTTGAACCTAAAGCGAGGAGAGACATTTTAAAGGGTAAATCCTCTATTCAAACATTTTACTTTAAGAGTTTATTGTAAACATTTGAGCATTTTACTTTTCTTTCTTGAATTTAACTCAAAATCTGTATCTTTGGCTTAATAAAGCTCCTTCCTGGTGTTTGGGAGCTGGAAATTCAACAAAGCCAGCCATCGCCCTCTGCGAGTCGGGGGGTGGTGGGAAGGCCTCCTTGAGGGAGGAAGCCAGTGCAGTTCCCCCTGCACATTGCATGTGGCCCCAGAAAGGCCTTCCTGCCCAGGGCCCTGAGGGATGCACAGGCACTGAGCTGGGAGTCTGAAAACTTGTGTTCCAGACGCAGCTCTGCCCCTGCCTGGTCTTGTTCCCTTGGGCAAGTCCTTAAATCTCTGAGCTTCCATTTTCCTGTGAGGAAGGGAGCTGGGTGCTAGTGGAGGACGACATAGCAGAGGTTGCAAGTGCTCTGCTTGACGGCCGTCCACTGTGTGGCCTGGGCATGGGAGGAGCTCCTCTCTGCCTGCTTTCTCCACTCTGCTCATTTGTTCTACAAATATTTATTGGACATCTACTGTATGCCAGACTCATGCTGTGGGTACAGCAGGGAGCAAAACCATTTTCTCAGCAGCTGTGTAGAGCCTCTCTTCTAATGGGGAGAATCAGCTAACAGGTGATCAATGAGGTAATAATGAGTTCTATGGTGATAATAGGGACAAAGAGCAGGGTTAGAGAAGACCATGGTCAGGAGATGATAGTGCCTGCACTGCATATAAAGTGCTTCAAGCCACGCCTGGCACCTGGGGAGCGCTCAGTAAATGTTGTAATCTAAAATCTCTTCGCACTTTAAACCCTGTCTGAGAGTGAAAGGCAGGTGCCCTCCCTGGAGTAACTGGTCATTCGTCCACATGTGGTGTACAATTACGTGTGTTCACTGAAGCCAGTGAGAAGCCTCCATGTGCCGGCACTGGCATGGCTGCTGTTGCGTGGTGGGTCCATCCCAGCTGTGCCGTGGGACAGCCGTCCCTTGAGGGAAGGATCACGCATGCTCACGGTGCAGTGCCTGCATTCACCCTGCAGCCAGCACAGTGGCAGCAGCTTGCAGCGAGTAATGGCCAGTCTTCTAAGAAAGGGCAGCGTGCTCTAACTCAGAAATAACAGCCACACACCATGGAGCTACAGTCCGCCACAGTTTGGGAGTACTGGAGACTTTCCCTCCTTGGAGGGGTTAGGGTGTCCCAGGTGCCTCAATCCCAATGGCGCATGGAGTCTTTGCTGCAGCCCATCTCCCCAGGTGACAGACAGCTGCTGTCCTTAATGGCTGTGAGGCCTTCTGCGGTGCCTAGGCGGGACCCTCCCTGCCCGCAGTGTTCCTGGCTTGCTTGGCAGGAAGACAAAGGCCGCATCTTCCCAGGCGGTGTCGTTGTTGGCTGTGCTCTTGCTCTCTGTTGTTTCCATTATGCTGAGTGGGTGACACAGATGCTGGGTTCTCCTGGCATGCCCCTTCATGGTACTGCACCTGCCCTCTCCAGTGCCCCACAGGGCCTGCAACCTAGCCAGCTGCTAGGCGAAAGACACAGTCCATCCCTCCCATGCTGCCTCTGCGGAACCTGGACAGACCTTGGCGCTGACCTTGACCGTTACAGGCCTCCCAGCATTATGCTTCGCCCAGCCCAAATGGCCAGTGTCCCTGCACTCCTGACACCCCACCCCACCTGCACAAAGACATTCAGTAGTTCTCCTCCCTATCCCAAAGGTCTAAACTCTTCTACAGGATAAGAGGTGGTGGGAAAAGCATAGACTTTGGGGCCAGGTGAATCTGTGTGGGGATCCCAGCGCCTATACTCACTGGCCTGTGACTATGACTGTGAACTTCTTTGAGCCTAGTCTTTAACTGTAAGGTGGAGGCAATGCTACTACTTTGAAGGGGATTTTGGCAGTGTTGACACGTATGCAGCACCTAACACAGTTCCTGCCACATGGTGCAAATACTTAAAAGACACCAGCCTTCCCCCTTTTCCCTCGTAGTGTCTGACACATGGTAGGGCCTAAAGGAAAAGCTACTGAATATAGTAATGCAAAGATGCAATATAAGAAGCCACTTGGCCCGGTGCAGTGGCTCACACCTGTAATCCTAGCACTTTGGGAGGCCAAGGCAGGTGGATCACCTGAGGTCAGGAGTTTGAGACCAGCCTGGACAACATGTTAAAACCCCATCTCTACTAAAAATACAAAAATTAGCCCAGCTACTCAGGAGGATGAGGCAGGAGAATCACTTGAACCCAAGAGGTGGAGGTTGCAGTGAGCCAAGATCGTGCCACTGCAGTCCAGCCTGGACTACAGAGTGAGACTCCATCTCAAAACAAAAAAAAATGAAGCCACTCTGGGTTCTGCCAGACCCGTACACCCCGCTGTGTTTGCTTCGTCTTCAGCCTAGTTCCCTCTGGTATCAGAATGGCTGCCACAGATCCAGGCCTGGTACCCACACGCCTCACCATCCAGAAAAGAGAGTTGAGTTGCTTGAATCAGCCACTGTGGCCTAGCCCTGTTGCTGGGGATAGGGTCAGTTCTGCCCAAACAGCAGTGGGGTGCAGTGGCCAGAGGCTAGGAGGACCAGCTTCACTGAGACAGGCCTTCCTCCTTCTCGGGCCATGGATTTCTATCCATATGCTCATCTGACAACAAGCAGACAGTCTCCTGCAACACAGTATGTCTCAACTAAGAAGCTCCCGGGGGCTCCCAGACTTGAGCTCCACAGCCCACTGAACTGCTGACCCTGGCAGAATTTAAATTTTTCGTGCTAGCTGCGAGTCTGAATCTGCTTGCATTCTTGCCTTGTTTGTGTGTCTGCTTCACGTTGGTTTCACACTGGTTTCTGCCTTTCCCAGTCAACTCCACAGGTAAACGTGTGTCTGCTTTGCCTGATGCAGGTATCTTTGCCTACAGATGACTTCGTGGCACCTTCCTGGTGCTTATGTGTTGACCACAATGTGGCCCCAAGTCTGGCCCATGCCACTACTCCTTGGCATCCAATTTTAACAACTGTGACTTTGCCTTCAGTGAAGGCCACCCTCCAGTTTGGGATTTCATTCCCATTGTCTTTGCAGGATGAGCTCAGGTTTCTACAAAAATGTGGTGAAGATTCAAAAGCATGTTACCTTCAACCAAGTGAAAGGCATTTTCGGCTTCACTGACAGCGACAGCATCGGTAAGGGGCCCACTGCTGCCTGTGCCTTTCAAAACGGAGCAGAGTTCTGGAGGAGACACATGTCTGGTTTAAATATCTCTGAGATGTTAGCTTTTGCAACTGTCTCTTTAAGTAAGACACCCAGGCCTGGGCGGGTCGTCATCATCCTGGAATCTGACTAGCTACTGTAATGCATTGAGCAGCTTCTCTGGGTTGGGTGAAGCTGCACTTCAGGATGTAAGTTTTGTCCCTCTCCTGTTACCCATCTTAAGGTTTAGAAGAAAGAAAAATCTAAGGATGATTTTGGAGTTCCAACAGCTCTGGTGGGACCCCAGTCAGTGTAGAACTTGGGTGGAATCAGGGGTGATGGAGAAGGACAGCTGGATCTGCTGCCCATGAGGGAGCCTTTGAGTCTTTGTCTCCCTGGGCCTCAATGTCCCCACATGTAAGATGAGGGGCTTGACTCGAGGTCTTCTGGAGCCTTCCCATCCCTGCCCTGCTCTCCTTCCATGGCTCCACCCCAGCAGATGTACAAATGGTTTGCCTCCCACGTGCATGCCTTCTTGGCCCTCTCTGTAAATTTCCATGTGTCTTTCAGATGCATTGGCCTTGTAGACTTTTAGACTTTTGGTCCTTGAGAGTTGTGGCTGGGCCTTCTGATCCCATCCTCTACTTGACGTTTGCCACATGGCTTCAGTCCTAGCAGGCCTCTGAGGCCTTCAGTCAGCTGCCAGCCAAGACAGCTCCTTAGGATGTGCTGCTGGGGCTCTCCATGGGGAGCATTCGCCCTGCTTGGAGCCAGAGCCACAGTGGTGTGTGCTCCACAGCATCAGGGTCACGCTGGGCCAGCCGCGTGCCCAGAGTCCAGAAACATCTGAGCTCACCCAAGGGCCTGGGTACCGCCACTCGGTGGGGGCTGGCGTGGCACCACCTGTCAGGGGCCCCGGAGAGGTCAAAAGTTCTTCTGCAGGCCTAAGCAAAAACTGATGACAGTAATAACAGCCACAACATCCAAAACACTAAAACTTTTAAATAGCAAATACATTCATCGTAACTTATGATAATTAAAGGTGGAACAACCTGAATGCCCAGTGGTTAGAGAGTGGTTAAAGAGTATGTTACATTGACAGGATAGAATATACTTAGTAACAACATGGATAGTCATTACAACGAAAAAGGCAAGGAAGGCCGGGTGCAGTGGCTCACGCCTGTAATCCCAGCACTTTGGGAGGCCAAGGCAGGCATTTCACGAGGTCAGGAGATCGAGACCATGCTGGCCAACATGGTGAAACCCCGTCTCTACTGAAAATACAAAAATTAACTGGGTGTGGTACGCACCTGTAGTCCCAGCTACTCGGGAGGCTGAGGCAGGAGAATCGCTTGAACCCAGGAGGCGGAGGTAACAGTGAGCCAAGATCGAGCCACTGCACTCCAACCTGGCAACAAAGCGAGACTCCTGAAAAAAAAAAAAAAGAAAAGAAAAAGAAAAAGCCAAGGAAAGACCAAAAATAGTGTAGTCACAATGAAAATGCATAGAGTAAAATATATAAACAAAATGGATGAAATGAGACACATTGCAGCTATACAGTTTATTCTTTTTTCTACTTTTCCGTATTTTTTAGGTTTTCTTTAATGATTATTTTATAATGGGGAGAAAACCTGTTTTTGTTCATTCCTTTATTAACTAAGCAGAACAGGAACTCATCTCACGTGTGAAAATATTTCTTTCTCACTTTCAGGGAAGATCAGTTTTCCTGCCATCCAGGCTGCTCCCTCCTTCAGCAACTCATTCCCACAGATCTTCCAAGACAGGACAGATATCCAGTGCCTTATCCCATGTGCCATTGACCAGGTCAGCAGGCAGAACCAAGGCTCTCTGAGTCTGGGGCATTGACAGCAGGTTCCTCTTACTCTTCAGCGGGGGAGAAGTGTTGAAAGATATGACAGGCAGCCAGGCCGGGTAGCTCACGCCTGTAATACCAGCACTTTGGGAGGCCAAGGCAGGCGGATCACTTGAGGCCAGGAGTTCAAGACCAGCCTGGCCAACATGGCAAAACCTCATCTCTACCAAAAATTTATAATTTAGCCAGGTGTGGTGGCAGGCACATGTAATCCCAGCTGCTCACCTCACTGGAACCCCAGAGACAGAGGTTGCAGTGAGAGCGTATCACTGCACTCCAGCCTGGGTGACAGAGCAAGACTCTGTCTCAAGAAAAAGGAAAGAAAGTTGGGGGGTGGGGGGCAAGAGAAGGGAGAGCATTGGGGCAAATACCTAATGCACGTGGGGCTTAAAACCTAGATGACAGGTTGATGGGTGCAGCAAACCACCATGGCACATGTATACCTATGTAACAAACCTGTGTGTTCTGTACATGTATCCCAGAATTGAAAGCAAAATTAAAAAAGGAAAAGATATGAAGGGGAGGAGGGAGTGAATTTCTTTAGTTGGAAGCATGAGGGCCTTCTGTGAAGATGCTCACAGGGACGGCTCACAGCTGAAAGCTGGCATGTTTTCCAACCGCCCTCATCAGGGTCCTTCCTCTCCCCCACAGGATCCTTACTTTAGAATGACGAGGGACGTCGCCCCCAGGATCGGCTATCCTAAACCAGCCCTGCTGCACTCCACCTTCTTCCCTGCCCTGCAGGGCGCTCAGACCAAAATGAGTGCCAGCGACCCCAACTCCTCCATCTTCCTCACTGACACGGCAAAGCAGATCAAAACCAAGGTGAGCAGTGGCCCGGGCAGAGGGCAATCAGTGGGAGTAGAAACATGCCCTGGGGGCACATGCACACACACACCACTGCACAGTGCTTTGGGCCTCAGCCCCCGTAGCAATGCTGAACTCCAGGATTGCCAACTATGCTCCCTGCAGAACTCAAGGCATCATGTCCTTCCCACATGAATCAGGTGAATTTGTTTTGTGTCCTTTCATTTAGGTAAAATTTTGAATTTTTTGTTTTTTTACCTTTTCTGCTTTTCTTACCAGCACTGTTCTGGAAGCAAAGTCATGGCAATTTCCTTAAAGTTATAATTACTGTGGATGTTATTAAACAATGGAAAAGATTTGTGTATATTTCTGATCATCAGCTGTGTTCCAGGGGCTGGACCCGGTGCCTTATTTATGTTTTCTCATGTTTCATTCTCACTGGGAGGTGGTGGTGCTATTCCCTTTAAAGATGAGTTGATGAGGCTTAGAGAAGCCCAGCCACTTGACCAAGTGTCCATCACCAGGAATCAGCAGCACTGCTCTCCTGACCATGAGCAGCCAAGCAGGGGTTAGGAGCTGGTTTTATCCCAGAGAGTGTTCTCACTGAGAGACACAGAACTGAGAAAAGTCCCTCCACGGGACAGTCCTGCTGGCCCCAGGAGGGATGCACGCAGCAGGCATTCAGCAAACATTTGACAAATCACTAGAGAAACTAAAAGGAGAAGTTAGTTTGAGCTTCCTTATTTTGCATGGCCCCAGTTCTGTTGCCTGGTTCCTCAACTGCCAGTGTATATTTAATTGCCTCACTGTTACACATAGCAGTTGACATTTTCTTTGGAATCAAGAGTGTGTTTGCAGGCTTGAAGATTGCAGTGGAAATGCTGGGAACTGTATTTGAGGCGTGTCACATGCCCTCTGAGTCACTGCCCCTGACCCTCTGGAAAGTCCCAGGCAGGTTCTGGTTGACAATGGAGAAGTCTTTCATATCAAAACTTCCTAAGACATGGCCTCCACCAACTCTCCTTACTCAGTTGGAAGCTGGTATGATTGGAGACTTTTCTTTCCCTTTCACTTCTAGCCAAAACTTCCGGAGCACAGGGTGCAGAATGGGCAGGGAAGTGCCACTGGAAAAGTCCGCTGTTTGATTTTGCTTCTGAGAAGTTGTTTTGAAAAAGTTGTTTATGGCCAGGTGCAGTGATTCACACCTATAATTCCAGCACTTTGGGAGGCCGAGGCAAGGGGGATTACCTGAGGTCAGGTGTTTGAGACCAGCCTGGCCAACATGGTGAAACCGCTGTCTCTACTAAAAATACAAAAATTTGGCAGGCACCTGTAATCCCAGCTACTCGGGAGGCTGAGGCAGGAGAATTGCTTGACCTTGGGAGATGCAGGTTGCCGTGAGCCGAGATCGTACTACTGTACTTCAGCCTGGGCAACAGAGCGAGACTCCGGCTCAAAAAACAAAAAGAAGAGAAAAACTTGTTTATGGATCTGGGACATTTATCATTCACTTAGGGACCAGCAGAGCCCTCAAGGTGAGCAGTTAGCATGAGGTCAGGAAGCACAGAGGCCTACAGACAGTCACTGGGCCTGCAGGCTTCTTGTGGGGCAGAACAGGGTCCGGCCAGGCCCTCACTCTAAATCCCCATGCCTGACTTCGGCTCCAAAATCAGAATTTCCACACCAGAGAAGAGGGCACATCTGCTCCGGCCTCCTCCTAAAAATAACAGGTTCAGGCAGGGTAGTGGCACGTGCCTGTAGTCCCAGCTACTCAGGAGGAGGGCTTGAGCCCAGGGATTCAAGGCTGCAGTGAGCTACTGTTGTGCCAGTGAATAGCCACTGCACCCCAGCTGGGGTGGCACAGTGAGGCCCCATCTCTAAAACTAAAAAAAATAAAATAGTAGCACAGTGCTGATGATTCAAGTGGCTTTGCTGAGTGAGTACCTGCCATCTGCACAGAGTCAGCCTGTGTGATCTAACTGCATCCCAACTACCACCCTAGCTGGCCGTGTCCACCCAACATCATTTCCTGTCGCACAGAGTCACACTGGTCACCCGCTTCCATCATCTTAGTTGCTGGCAGCAGTGCTGCATACCCGCCCCCAAGTCGTCCCTCCATGTTTTCCTGTCAGTCAGGCCTGGTAGGCCGCTTCCTGCATCACTAAGGACTGGTCACATCAAGGAGGCAGAACTGAGCCACTCAGTTCTCGAGCTCCACCTGGAAGCCTGGTGTTCCAGGAGCCAGCCTGGTCCTGCCAATCCCTGTCACATATGGCAGGTTCCTGACACTGGGCCTGATTTCCTTCACCTGTAAGATGGCAAAAGCACTACAGAGGTCATTGGGTTGTTGGGGATAAAATACATGTCACAACCCTAACAGCCAACATGGATGGCACATCTGCTGTGTGCCTACCATGGAACAAGGGGCTTCGCCTGGGGAGGGGGAGTGTGCAGGTGGTGGTGACGCCAGCGCATCGTGAAAAACGTGCAGCAGACACCAGTTTCCTTGTTCTCCTCTCAGATAAAGGGCTGGGAACTGGCCTTTCAATACTCTCTTCAAACTGCCCCAGGAGCCCAGGACCTGTGTTCTCAGACTTTCTTCCTGACACTGGAGCTGCTTCTCCAAGGCCCAGCAGGGAGGGCTATGGCCATCACACAGCAGTGACTCCGTCAGGCACTTTCTTCCTCCTGTTTATTAGTATTTTCCATAGTTTTTGGTTCTATAACTTTTTTTTTCTTTTTTCTTTTTTCTTTTTAAGGAAAGGGAAGGTAAACATCCCATTCGTTAGCTTTTTTCTTTCAGCCCCGCAGGCCTGCCCACCAGCCAGCCACACGGCGCCAGCCCCTTGCATGGGCCTTGCCTGAGCCTCTCGCGTGACTACTGCTTTCCCTGCCCAGCCTCTCAGCAGTGCCCTGCCATGATGGAGACTGGCACCTTTGCCCCAACACTCATCTGCTCCTTTTGCACAATCCCAACTTATCTAGTTAGGAATCTGCTCTGGAATGTGTGTGTGTGTGTGTGTGTGTGTGTGTGTGTGATGGAGTTTTGCTCTTGTTGCCCAGGCTGGAGTGCAATGGCACCATCGCGGCTAACCACAACCTCCGCCTCCCGTGTTCAAGTGATTCTCCTACCTCAGCCTCCCAAATAGCTGGGATTACAGGCATGCGCCACCACACCCAGCTAATTTTGTATTTTTAGTAGAGACGGGGTTTCTTCACATTGGTTAGGCTGGTCTCAAACTCCCTACCTCAGGTGATCCGCTTGCCTCGGCCTCCCAAAGTGCTGGGATTACAGGTGTGAGCCACTGCACCCAACTGCTCTGGAATTCTTTTGAGGAGACTTACTAAACATAACAACTTAGAATTTATTGACTCTGCCTACCCTTTTTCCCGTAAAAAAATGTTAAGGCTGGACACAGTGGCTCACTTATGTAATCCCAGCACTTTGGGAGGCCAAGCAGGTGAATCACCTGGGGTCAGGAGTTTGAGACCAGCCTGGCCAACATCGTGAAACCCTGTCTCTACTAAAAATACAAAATTAGCCGGGCATGGGGGCAAAAAAAAGTTAAGGGGCCGAGCACAGTGACTCGTGGCACAGTAATCCCAGCACTTCGGGATGCCAAGGCAGGCAGATCACTTGAGCCCAAGAGTTCAAGACCAGACTGGGCTACACGACAAAACCCGGCCTCTACAAAAAATACCAAAAAATTAGCCAGGCTGGTGGCACACACCTGTACTCCTAGCTACTCAAGAGGCTGAGGCAGGAAAGTAACCTGAGACCAGGAGGTCAAGGCTGCAGTGAGCCGTGATCACACCACTGCACTCCAGCCTGGGCAACAGTCTAGAGATCCTATCTAAAACAAAAAAATTAGGGTAACATTTGTGCATTGGAGGTTTCTCAGATGCTCACTGAAAGAATGTTGAAGGAGTTTTGCCTATTTTTTCTGGCTTTTAGTAGCCCTAATTACTCTGTGATTATCTTCAACAATTCTTAAAAGGCATTGTGTTTCTGAGTTTTTCAGCTCTGACAGCATTGCCTGTTTGTAAGTGGAGACCTGCCTGCAGGCCCCTCTACCCGCGCAGTTCCTGTGGGTTTGCCTTCCCTTACTGCCTTACCCTGCCTGTGCCTTCTTGTTCTGCTTTCTGTGGGAGGCTGGCCGCTGCTTTCCTGTCCCTGTTAACACTGCAGTACCTATCCCTAAGAGAGGCTGCCCTTCCTGCCATCTCCCTTACTCTGAGGATGACTTACTCATCTTTTTTTATTTATTTATTTATTTAGTTTTTATTATTTTAGAAATAAGGTCTTACTCTGTCGCCCAGGCTGGAGTGCAGTGGTGCAATCACAGTCCACTATAACCTCAAACTCCTGAGTTTGAGCGATCCTTCCACCTCAGCCTCCCGAGTAGCTAGGGCTACAAGCGCACGTCAGCACACCAGCTAATTCCCTTTTTTTTTTTTTTTTTTTTTCCAGAGGGGGGGCTCACTAAGTTAGCTGACTGGTATTGACCACCTGGCCTCAATTGATCCTCCCCCCTCAACCTCCCAAAATGCTGAGATTACTGGCACAAGCCACTATGTCCAGCCTTACCCATCCTTTCTCTGAAGTTTGTCACCTGAGGCACTTGTCTCCCCCAGGTTTCAGTTCAATCAGTGCCTTTGCTTTCCCAACTCTATTCTCCTGTGTCTCTGAGGATGAGGGAGTTCAAAGCTCATCTGCCCCCACCTCTCCTGCAGTGAGCCCCATGGCAGCTCACACCCAAGCCTCACAGGAAGAATAGCAGTGGGTCCCCCACCAGCTCTGCACCTTGACCTTTCTGTGGTTCAGAATCTGACAGCACTCACACCTTTGACTTCTGCACTTGGGCTTCTAGCCAGCATCCAGGCACAGGATGAGCAGGACTGACGAGCGTGTTTGTGTCCTCTTCTGGTGCAGGTCAATAAGCATGCATTTTCTGGAGGGAGAGACACCATCGAGGAGCACAGGCAGTTTGGGGGCAACTGTGATGTGGATGTGTCTTTCATGTACCTGACCTTCTTCCTCGAGGACGACGACAAGCTCGAGCAGATCAGGAAGGTGAGCAGGGAGCCCCAAGGGCCCACAGCTGCCTCCAGCCAGCCACTCCTGCCCATGGGGCCTGGAAGGCTCCAACAGCCAGGCATGAAGGGTTGGTCGGAAGTGCTCAACCGAAACAAGGTGAAAACTGAGTAGAGTCGCCCTCATAGTTTTTAGACCTGGGCTCAGAAGCCTCATGAACAAATCACGAAAGAGCAGATACAAATTACTATTCATTTGGGAGTCACACAAAACAGTCTTGCTTTATTAGTCATCAGAGAAATATAAGTTAACGTGATCAAAGCAAAGACAGTTCAGTACAGAATCAGTAGGGGCTTTTGTGTGGCCATTGACTGTTTTCAGTGATTGTGAAGCAGACGCTTCCAGGCACACTCATGTGAGCAGAGTGTTTATCGGCACAGCCTCGTAAGCAGTTTGGTGATGGGTACAAAGAGCCCAAAAATGTTCAGAGCTTCTCCTCAGGTTTTCTCATTCTTAGATTTTTTTCCAAGGAAATAATCCTGAATAAGAGAAAGCTTTCCACACAAAGATGTTAAAAATGATAATAGCAAAAAGTTCAACACAGACTTGATACAACAGAGGAAATGTTAAATAAATTAGAATTGTTACAGGGTGGATTATTATGCAGGCATGAACTCTTTTAAGAGTGTTCATATGCAGAGCAAGGTGGCACACATCTGTAGTCCCTGCTACTTGGGAAGCTGAGACAGGAGGCTCCCTTGAGACCAGGAGTTCAAATCCAGCCTGGGCAACATAGCAAGACTCTTTTTTTTTTTTTTTTCTTTTTTTTTTTTTTGAGACGGAGTCTTGCTCTGTCACCCAGGCTGGAGTGCAGTGGCACGATCTCGGCTCACTGCAAACTCTGCCTCCCAGGTTCATGCCATTCTCCTGCCTCAGCCTCCCGAGTAGCTGGGACTACAGGCTCCCAACACCATAACCGGCTAAATTGTATTTTTAGTAGAGACGGGGTTTCACCGTGTTAGCCAGAATGGTCTCGATCTCCTGACCTTGTGATCTGCCCACCTCGGTCTCCCAAAGTGCTGGGATTACAGGCGTGAGCCACCGTGTCCAGCCAAGACCCTCATTTCTTTAAAAAAAAAAAAAAAAAAGTTTTAGTGACATAGGAAAATATGCCTATGATAGTGAAAAAAGGATACCAAATGAAAACTCAGGGAGGAGTTAACTATGTTTAAATGAAATGCACATGAAAAGAAATGTAAAAAAATTCACCAAATGTTAGTGGCAGACCCCACCTCTGGGCACTGTTTAGGTGGGTAATTTGTAGGTGATTTTTCTTTGCTGTGGCTTTGTGGTTTGGGTACTTTATTAAATTTGCTTAATGAGCCTGCATTACAATCAGAAAAAGAGAAAAAATCAGCAAAATTTGGCCAGGTGCAGTGGCTCATGCCTGTAGCACTTTGGGAGGTCAAGGCGGGTAGATCACGAGGTCAGGAGATTGAGACCAGCCTGGCCAATATGGTAAAACCCCATCTCTACTAAAAATACAAAAATTAGCCAGGCATGGTGGCACGTACCTGTAATCCCAGCAACTCAGGAGGCTGAGGCAGGAGAATCACCTGAACCTGGGAGGCGGAGGTTGCAGTGAGCCGAGATCACACCACTGCACTCCGACCTGGCAACAGAGCAAGACTCCGTCTCAAAAAAAAAAAAAAATTAGCAAGATTTTCCAGAAGCCGTAAGGCTGCCAGGAATTGTTGTTTAGTGCCTGGGGGAACGGCGGCCCCTAGCGTCGGTAGGGTTGGGGACTGCCCTCCCCATTGGCCCTTTCACTGTGAGAGACCTAGTCATGGCTACTGTCAGAGCCAGGTTTCTAGCCGTTTTAGGAAAAGTGTAGCTGAAGGTATAGGTTATTGTTGTGGTAACAACACATCTCACTTCTGAGTGCCACCCACGTGCCAGCCTCTTCTTGGGTGGTGTGGGCTTAGCTGGTGCCCAAGGCAGGAAGGAGCTGCTCAGGACATGTGGAGCCATCTCTCACATGGCTGTCTCCCTCTGGGCAGGATTACACCAGCGGAGCCATGCTCACCGGTGAGCTCAAGAAGGTACTCATAGAGGTTCTCCAGCCCTTGATCGCAGAGCACCAGGCCCGGCGCAAGGAGGTCACGGACGAGATAGCAAAAGAGTTCATGACTCCCCGGGAGCTGTCCTTCGACTTTCAGTAGCACTCGTTTTACATATGCTTATAAAAGAAGTGATGTATCAATAATCCCAGCCCAGTCAAAGCACTGCCACCCGTAGGCTTCTGTCTCATGATTATCATTGGGCCTGGTCTCTGTAAGCCTGTGTATGTTATCAGTACTGTTTCTTCCTGTGAGTTCCATTATTTCTGTCTCTTATGGGCAAAGCATTGTGGGTGATCGGTGCTGGCTAACATTGCATGGTCAGATAGAGAAGTCCAGCTGTGAGTCTCTCCCCAGAGCAGCCCCCAAAGAGTGGAGCCTTTGGCTGGAAGTCCATGGACCACCCTGTTCTGGTCCGTGGAGGACTCCGAGGGTTCCAAGTATACTCTTAAGACCCACTCTGTTTAAAAATATATATTCTATGTGTGCATATATGGAATTGAAATGTCATTATTGTAACCTAGAAAGTGCTTTCAAACATCGATGTGGGGAGGTTTATTGAGCACAAGTTGTATTTCAGCCCACACCCCCTCCCAAAAGAAATTGGTAAGTAAAAGCTTTGCTCTACATTTGACTAAGAAATCACCCAGCTTTCAAGCTGCTTTTAACAATGAAGATTGAACAGAGTTAAGCAATTTTGATTAATTGAGACTTAGGGGTGAAACTGTTCAGTTTACTGAACTCCAGACCATGCATGTATTCCACTCCAGAAATCAGCTCGCTTCCCTTGGCGTACCAGTATTCTCCCGCCAGATGACCCTAGACCCTCTGTCCTGCAGAATCAGGGTGGCTTTTCCCCGACTGTGTCCGATGCCAAGGAGTCCTGGCCTTTGCAGATGCTTCATGTTGATCCTTGGCTGCAGTGGAAGTCAGCACAGAGCAGTGCCCTGGCTGTGTCCCTGGACGGGTGGACTTAGCTAGGGAGAAAGTCGAGGCAGCAGCCCTCGAGGCCCTCACAGGTGTCTAGGCAGGCCTCATTTCATCACGCACCATGAGCAGGTCTGGAAGAGCAAAGCCCAATCTCAGGGAAGCCCGTGGTTGATGTGTCTGGGTCTGCTCTGGAGCACTCTGCCCTCCTGTCGCCCAGTAGAGTAAATAAACTTCCTTGGCTCCCGCGCTTGGCTCCGGCTCTTGTCATTGTGCTCTGGCTCTTGTCATTGTGCTCTGTCTGGGGGGTCTGAGGAGGGAGCAGAGACCCCTCCCTCATCCTTCTGTGTGTGACCTTGAGTCTGCTGGACTCAAAATTTGGGGATGAAAGTGCACAGTCCTGGGAACCCCGTGGTGTTGTGTCACAGCTCCCAGGAATGGGCTTGTGCTGGGAGAGCCCTTAGCAGCATCCCGGTGCGGGCTCCGTCTCACACCACATTTCTCATTTCCAGCAGCTGATGGAGAACGCAAGCAGAGGTTGTCCTCGCTTTTCAGAGGAGGGGCTGGCCGTGGAGTACTTGGTGGTGCTGTGTAGTGACAGGGAGCACAGGCTGGGAGCCAGGCCGGGCCACGTTCACATGAGGCCCAGGGCAGGCGCCGAGCTGCAAGGGAGCCCTGGGCTCATTCTACCGGCTCATCCTCATTTTGTAAGTGGGGAAGCTGAGGCTTAGGAGAGGAGAACATGACTTGTCCAAGGCCATAGGGTGACTCTGGCACAGCAAGTCTGTCCTGACTCTTGGGAGGCTGGAGGCCTGGGCTCGAGTCCCACTCAGGTACCCATGTGCACCATGACCTCACCTAGGCCTCCTCTCCCTGTCTCAACTCCTGCTGAGCTGGGCCCCACCCCTGCCCTCCCCTGCTCCACCTGGCTGGCTATGGCCAGTGGGGGTGAGCCACCCACAGAGGCCATGAAGCTCACTAGCCTGTTGCCCTGGGCAACTAACATGACTCCTTGTAGCTCTGCTGCACCTGTGATGCAAGTGCAGTGAGGGGTGACAAGTGACGTCAGTGACAGCCGCTGCTGTCATCGTCCACCCAGCCAGAGCATCTATTGGCGAGACGCTGGTGAGACCCTGGCCCCAGGGAGAAGTGAGCCAATACCGACCAGCTTCTCCCCTCACCGGCTGTGTGACTCTGGCCAGGTCACTTAACCTCCCGGGACCTCCATCTCCTCCCCTGTAAAAAGCAGTGATGCCTCTTGTTTAGGGTCTTAGGAGGGGTGCCCTGGGTCTAATACTCAGGTGACTTGCCCAAGGCCACTGCTGGTCAGGACACAGGGGAGCTGCACGTCTCCCAAACCTCCCCCATTTTGCTAAAAACCAGTGGTTTCTGAGAGAAATGTTCCCTGAAAGACACGGACATGTCTGGATTAGGATGGACAGGTTGCAGTGGCCCCATGGGTGTTTGGGGATGAGGCATGAGGCTGGGTGCCAGCACCACCGTGGTGCCGTAGGCTCTGCCAGAAGAGCACTCCTACTCCAGCTGGTGACGTCCACCTGGCAGACAGATGTGGGGCCGGCCCAGCTCAGCCTCTCTGCCCCGTGGCCCCCAGCCTGGAGGAGAGACCAGCTGAGCCTGCCTGAAAGGAGACAGGGCCTGAGAAGCACACAAAACAGCACTGGGTGGGGAAGCAGGGCCAGGAAGAAGGGTGGCTGAGCACACGGGTGGCTGTGGAACAGTTTGCTGCTCCAGGACAGCACTCGGCAAGCAACAGGCCTGCCTCTGGCCCCCAGTGCCCGCCTGCAGCACCAGCAGCTGTGCCCTCCCCAGGGTCACGCTGGCTGGGCCTTGAGGCCCAGGACTCTCTGGTCATTACCACGGAGGTTGTAAAGACAGTGAGGACAGAGGCCCTTCCTGCAAACCCCCTCCCCAGTGACAGGCAGAGCCAGCTGCTCAGTGACACAGGCTCAGGGAGAGCCAAAGGCCCCACCTCCCAGAGTGCAGCCACTGCCAGAGCCGGGCCAGGAGTGCTGCCAGGAACCCTCCTGTCAAGGCCGAACAGGTGGGGTCTTCTCAAGAAAAATGGTCCCAGGGTCAGTGTTTGATGAACGATGGAAACCGGTTAGCACCTGCCCTTTCCCAGCATTTGGCCACAGCATCTCAGCCTCTGCAGCTCCTAAGCTGGACGCACTTCCTGGAATCTACTGCAGGACTTATTCATTCACTCACTCACTCACTCATTCATCCCACACCCACTACTGTACAGCAGCCCTGGAGCTAGATGGAGTCCTTGCACAGCTCACAGGCTCTTGTGGCTGGGGAGAGGCAGATGAGTGACCACACACCCAACTAGGTCCCCACGGGAGCAGAGCAGGAGATGCTTGGGAGCAGCCCAGTGGTCAGGCAGGGAGAGCTTCCCGGAGGAGGTGGCACCTGGGGTGTAGAGCCAGCCAGGCAGAGCAGGGGGAGGGTGTTCCTGGCACAGGGCATCAGATCAGGTGTCCACAGCACCACACATATGGGGACTGGCATAACAGGAGCAGACCCAGGAAGGGGGGTCCACCCCTTATTCTGGGAGTAGAAGAGTTCTGTTCGGCAGAACAGAGGACAGCGTTCAGTGCACAGACACAGTCATGGTCGGTGTCCCTGAGTGACTATAGTCAATGCAGGTGGCCTCCAGCCCTGCCAGAGGGCTGCTGTGGTGGAGACCCGATGGCTTCACGCTGGACCTGGCAGCCCTAGCCCGATAGCCCCCATCAGTGGAAGCCACATGATTGATACCAGGAGGGGGGTGCTGGAGCGTCAGAAGCACGGGCTCCAGTCCACCCACCCCTCCTGATGCGTGACTGCAGGCAAGGCCCCCTCCCTCTTGGAGCTGTCTGCTCGCCTGGCATCCGGTGGCTGTGGTGAGCTGTGCAAGGTGCCCGGCACCCTCCCACGGGCACCCCCTTCTGGAGGGTTGGCACACAGGGCGGGTGGGAGGGCCTGGCTGGAACCAGCTTTCGCTCAGAAAGTGGGTGGGTTTGGGATGAGGTGGTGAGGAGAGCAAGTACCCTGCTAAACAGCCCCCTGCAGCAGGACTCAGCGCCATAGGCCAGGCCCCACAACCCAGAAGGCTGAGAGAGTGGAGCCCGCCAGAGTGCCAGGCGGTGTTTCAGTGTGCCCATCTGCACAGTGGGAGCACTGGCAGCTTGGGTTTGGCGGGGCTCGTCCAGCAGGAAGGGAGCAGGACAGGGCCAGGGCCCTGCACCTCCCAGGATAGGTGGGCAGGCCTCACGGGGTGCAAAGCTGCTGGGGGCAGGGAACGGTCAGCCCACGGAACATCCTCAGAAACATTTTATTGACAACAGTTCCCAACAGAGTCTTTGGGGTCTTTGCAGCGTCTTTGGGGTCTTTGCAGCGTCTTTGGGGTCTTTGCAGCGTCTTTGGGGTCTTTGCAGCGTCTTTGGGGTCTTTGCAGCGTCTTTGGGGTCTTTGCAGCGTCCACAGGCAGAGTGATGGCTCCTGAGGAACCTCACTCCAAATGCCCTAACCGGGTGAGGACGGCCACCCCGGGCCCCTGCCAGGTGGGCATGGCAGTCCCGGCAGCACCCCTGGGAGCAGCCTGCTGTGGGGAACAAGCCAGGCCGGGAGCCGTCAGTCATGGTGGGCCAGCCCAGCTCATGCTCCCTGCCCTAAGGCCCCCAGCCTGTGGGAAGCCCCTGCCTGTAAGGGACAGCTCATGAAGACAAGAACAGTAGTGGGGACGAGGGTCTGGGAATGGGATAGAGGTTGGCTGAGCACATACCTGACTCCCTGGAAGTTTGCTCCAAAGACATGGGAGGCGGGGGCCACGGGGAAGCTGGGATGAACAACTGACTCCATGCGACACACGACCTCATCGAAGAGGCCCACTCCTCCCTGGCTCCTGCCACCCAGGACAATGCTGGCTGATGGCCGGCGGCCCCTCGACCTGAGGTCAGTCGCTGGGCAGGGCAAGCTCAGGCCTCGGCCGACTCACTGCAGGGAGGCTCCTCGTTTTCCTGGGCAACAGCCCTGTGGGGTCCCAACCCCAGCCACACTACTCCTTGCCTCCTCCCGCCACTATAACCTCCAGCAGCTGCCGGCGGGTGGGCCGCTGGGCGTGGGGACCAGCTATGTGAGCAGACCCTGGGTGAGCCTCAGCACCGCCTCATAGGCGACAAAGACCACCATGTTGACAGGGAAGGCGCGGCAGCAGTTGAGCACCAGGCCCTTGAAAAGGACCCGGGGTCCCTCCTCCCGCACGCTGGTCACCATACAGTGCAGGAGGCCCCGGTAGCGCCTCTGGCCCTGTCCATCTGCCTGCAGTCTCGACTTGATCACGTCCATGGGGGTGGCCACAGCCCAGGCCAGGACTCCCGCACAGCCCCCGGCCACCAGCACGCCCAGAACATCTGCAGAGAGACCACAGTGCCTTGACTGGGAGCCTGATCGGGGCGCCCAGGGCAATGTGCCCTGGACTCACTCTTCCGGCCCATCCTCATTTGCAAGTGGCTTGGGAGAGGGGAAGGGAACTTGTCCACAGCCACACACTGACGCTGACACAGCAACTCTGTCCTGACTCTTGGTGTTGGGGGAACTGAGGAGCCCACCCTGGGAGGCAGGAAGCCGAGTTCAAGCCCCCACTTGGGTACTGGCGGGCAGCAAGACCTCACCTTGTCCTCATCCCGCCGGGCTCCCCGCCCTGCCAGGTTCCAGCCCCTGCTCACCTGGCTGGCTGTGGCCAGCGGGCCTGAGCTGCTCACACAGGATGGCATAGGAAAGGAAGTAGGTGGCAAAGGAGTGGCCGTCCCGTAACAGCAAGGCTGAGCTACCCTTGTAGAGGCCGCGCAACCCCTCCTCGCGGGCTACTGTGGCCAGGCAGTGAAGCGGCCCGCGGTACTTGGGCTCTGGGCAGGCTGGGGGCGCAGGACACACGGGGGGCACAGCCGAGGGCCCCGAGGCCGAGAGCCGCCGTTGCTGCTTCTGTGTCTGCGTCTGCAGGCGAACTTTGGCCACCTCAGTGGGCGACGTCAGGAACACCTGGACCAGAGAAGGAGGCAGGGGTCAGCCACCTGTGGCTCTGCCCACAGCCTGGACCTGGCCTCCCACCGGCCTCATGTTGCCCATGGTGACCTCAGGAAGTTGGGCCCCAAGACCCTGCAGGCTGGCCCACAGCTGGGGGCCACGGGGTCCAAAGCCAGCTCTGCCCACCAAAGCTCATGCTTCCTTGGCAGCCACATCTCTCCCAGGCGCCAGCCTGCCGGACTTCTCCTGGGAGGTGGTAAGAAAATGTCGGTGACCCAGGTTCAAGAACGTATTTAATAACGTATCAGCAATAAAATAATATCACGGCCGGGCGCAGCGGGTCAAGCTTGTAATCCCAGTACTTTGGGAGGTCAAGGCAGGTGGATCACAAGATCAGGAGTTTAAAACCAGCCTGGCCAATATGGGTGAAACCCCATCTCTACTAAAAATACAAAAATTAGTCGAGCGTGGTGGCACGTGCCTGTAGTCCCAGCTACTCAGGAGACTGAGGCAGGAGAATTGCTTGAACCCGGGAGGCAGAGGTTGCAGTGAGCCGAGATGATGCCACTAAACTCTGGCCTGGGCAACCGAGCAAGACTCTGTCTCAAAAAAAAAAAAAAAAAATCACTAGACATACTGGCTGCCACTTCGTGGGTACTCATTCATGTTGGACTCCACATATGTGTGCTGGGGGCTTTACCCTCATGATCTCACTAAATTCTCATCATGCCTCTTACAGATGGAGAGACAGAAGCTCCAAGAGTCTCCCTTGCTTGCCCAAGGTTGTCAGCTCCTGAGAGTCAGAGCTGAGAGCTGGGCCTGGTGGTCTGGACCCCTGGGCCAGGCCTTCAGCCACTGGGCTGCTCCAGCTGGCTCCGTGCTGTCACAGTGTGCAGAAGTCTGTCCCCACTGCGGGAGCGAGGGCTCCCTGAGGGCAGACGGGCACTGCAGGTGCTCCACGCACAGTTGAGGATGGAGAAATGCCCGCGTCCAGCAACAGCTGACTGTGTTCAGGCATCTCTGTGCCCGGAGCCATGAGTGCCCGGGGCCTGCCTATTCAGCTTCCCATGGTGGCTTCTAGGTGACCTTCTGACCGTGACGGGGAGGGTCCCTTTGGTCACAGCCCCCTTCCCCAAGGGGCCGTGCTGGGCAGGACAGCAGTGAGCCCCTCATCTGTGAACTGCTCAGGGGTTCTGGGCCCAGCCTGGGCGGGATGCCAGTTCCTCTCCCACAGCCCCTGGCTCCATGCACGGCCTCCAGTGTCTGCCCTCATCAAGCCTCAGTTTCCCCACCTGCTAGGGTGGATAACCTCGCAGATTCCGCAGTCTCTCTTGGGCCTTCCCCACCCTGGCTGCCCCTACTCACGCGGACGAGGCCGGAGGCGTATCCCGAAAGCGCGATGTCGGCCTTGGAGGGCTTGGCGTCAGGGCTGCCGTACCGGAGCTGGCAGATGTGCGCCAGGCAGTGGCGGTAGGTGCCGAAAGACACGGAGGACACCAGGGACACCGTGCACACAGGAAGCGAGAGGCCGCGATAGAAGCCCCACACCTAGCAGACAGGGTCTAGGTGAGGCCAGGGCACCGCCAGAAGGAGGAGCCCACCGAGGGAGCCCACACTCAGCCCCACGCTGCACTCTGCTGTTGCACCTCGGGAAAGTCATTCACGGCCTCAGGGCCTCAGTTTCCTCTGCTGTAGGATGGAGGTCACGAGGGGAGACCTGAAGAGTCAGAGGACCAGGCCAAACCCAGCGCAGCTGCTTGATGATGATGAACTTTTTTTTTTTTTTTTTTTTTTTTTTGAGACAGAGTCTCACTCTGTTGCCCAGGCTGGAGTGCTGTGGCAAGATCTCAGCTCACCGCAACCTCCACCTCCCAGGTTCAAGCGATTCTCCTGCCTCAGCCTCCTGAGCAGCTGCCTGCTCACCACCTCCAGCTAATTTTTGTATTTTCAGTAGAGACAGGGTTTCACCATGTTGGCAAGGCTGGTCTCGAACTCCTGACCACAGGTGATCCGCCTGCCTCGGCCTCCCAAAGTGCTGGGATTACAGGCGTGAGCCACCGCACCTGGCCTGATAATGAACTATTAACAGCATGTTATGCCTCTACTGCTTTCACAAGCTAGCTCCTGGCCTGCATCAAGCCCCAAGTTCACTTTGGAGAATATCACCAAGTCCTGCCTCTGGACAGGTCTCTAAGCTAGACCCTGAAGACTCCACCCAACACTGCCTTCAAGGGGTACCTGGCCTGGAGGAGCCAGAAATGCAGTGCATGGGTCCCTCCTCTGACCTTCAAAGGCCTGAACGCTACCTCTAGACCCTCTGCTGGAGGTGGGAACCTCCTTCTGAGGCCCCTCTAGCTGCCAGATGACCTGGCTCCAGTCCTCAGAGGAACCCACGAGATTGGCAGAACTATTCCCATGTGGAAGGTGAGAGAGCTGAGACCCAGTGGGGAGCCCAGCATCCCCTCCCTGTCTCCCTGCCCACACCCTGACCCCAGACCTACGCGCTCTCGGTGATACGTATCCCGGATGCAGTGCCAGATGCCTGTGTACTTTGGCTCCGTCTGGATCCTGACCTGCGGGAGAAGTGAGCTTCAGAAGGGAGTAGCTCCAGGCCTCGGGGAAGGCCAGCAGGCCTTGGGGAAGGGGCAGAGTCACCCTCTTGATTGTCCCAGCCATGCTGGACTGTGGGCACAGCAGGGACAGGGAGCCTTGTGTTAGATGAGAAACCTGGGGTGCAGAGGCGAGAAGGTGGGACTGACAGTCCCAGGGGCTATGGGGAGCCATTGAAGGCATTTGAGCAGGAAAGGGGTGGGTCTGTTTAGCATTCTGGAAAGTCTTCTGGCCATGGATGGGTGCAGGGGCCTTGGGATGGTTGGGGGGCTGGCTGCTGCCACACCTTCACTGTGTCCAGGGGGTAGCCCACAGCAACACCGCAGACACCTGGAAGGAAAGCAGAGGCCCACGGTGAGGAGAGTGGGGCCAGCGAGCAGTTCCACCCCACTGCAGGGAAGAAGCAGCAGGTGCACACCAACTGGGCTCCCCCAAGGGCAGACCCATATTTGGCCCTTCTGGTCTGCACCAGGTCTCATCCCCTGAGGGCACCCTTGTTTTATAGATGAGGAAACTGAAACTCCAAGTGACTTCTGCCCTTTGCAAGCGAGTTCCCCTTCCCTGAGCCCTGGCCTGGGATTGCCTCATCCTTGCTGCCTTGGGCCAAAGACATGCCCCGGCCTCCCCACGGGCATCACGTTCTGAGAGAATGTCTGATCCAACCCTGGCTGGGCCCTGTCTCTGAGCCAGGCAGACCTTGCCCTCGAGCCATCAGTCCATGGAGGGTTTGCCTGTGAGCTAGGCAGTAACTGTGTTTTGGCTGCGTGGGTGGAAGGAGTGGGAGGCACAGCCTGGGCAAAGGCCAGGAGGAGGGAAGCCCAAGCCCACACCGGGGTTTGTGAAGAGCCAGGACTGCCAGGAATCACAAGTGTGTGTGGAAGAGAAAGGGCCGGAGTCCACACCTTGCAGAGAGGCTTCAGGTGCCAGGCCTCAACATCCAAGCCCCAGCACTGACACAGGGAAGGCAGACAGAAAACAGGCTGGTCCCTGGGGGGACCATTCTCTCCCCTGAGGGTCAGTGGTAAAGGCCAATGGAAGACAATAGGCACATGGGGACTGTACCCTATTTACTGTGGCCCAGGACTCAGTAAATATGCGGGATGAAAGAATGAAGCGAATAAATGAAGTAAGGCAAAAGACCAAGTGGCTTGGAGAGAATGACCCTTCTTAACCCTCCCGTACACCTCACACACCTCACCGAACTCCTACTCATCCATCAAAGCCCTGCCACAACACCATTTCCTCTCTGGAGCCCTCTCTGACCTCTGTACTCTGGGCTGCCTCTGTGCCTGGAACATGTTGAGCAGAGGCCTTGTCATATAGCCTTGCTGCTGTTGTATGCCACCGCCACCTCCAGAACTGGAGTTCTCCAAGGACATGGCCCAGGGCTGATACCCCATGACCCAGGGCCAGGCACAGAGTGAGAGCCCTTTACCTAGGCCTCCCCATGGGTTCGGAGGAAAGACGCCAGACTCAGGAGCCCTTTCCAGCTGTGTGACCTCAGGCAAGTCCAGTAACTTCCCTGAGGAAGGGAGCGGCTGGCCCCAGGCTGGCACCTAGCTGGGGCTCAGAAAGCCTGCTAATGGAGGCCGGGCGCAGTGGCTCACACCTGTAATCCCAACACTTTGGGATGCTGAGGCGGGCAGATCACTTGAGGTCAGGAGTTTGAGATCAGCCTGACCAACATGGTAAAACCCGGCCTCCACTAAAAACCCAAAAATTAGCCAGGCATGGTGGTGCATGTCTATAGTCCCAGCTACTTGGGAGGCTGAGGCAGGAGAATCACTTGAACCCAGGAGGCAGAGGTTGCAGTGAGCCAAGATCACGTCACTGCATTACAGCCTAGGCAACAGAACAAGACTCCATCTCAAAGGAAAAAAAAAGAAAAAGAAAGCCTGTTAATGGGGCAGGTACCTTGCCTTCTCCCAGGCCCAGAGCTTGGCCGCTCTCCCAACCCCCATGCTGTTCCCAGAAGTACTGACGCCACCCACTGCTGTTTCACAAGACCAGCAAGGCCAGGGGTGCCCACTCAAAACAGTCCCCACAGCCCATGGGATGGAGCTGAGCCCGTGTCCCAGGGCCTGGTTATCTCCCTGAATCAGTCTTTCACCAGGAGCCCTTCCCCGGGAGGGAGAACGGTTTCCCCAGCAGAGTCTGGCCTGAGAAGCAGGTTGCGGAGGCCCAGCCAGGCGCACACAGCCAGCGGGGCAGGTGGAGCCAGCTCGCCAGGTCCCTTACCGTCCTCTGCCCGCCCCTTCCAGTACCTGCTGCAGGACCAGGCCCCATCTTCCCTACCCATCTCCCCGCCCTCTCGATCCTCTCCTGGGGTCTTCCTTCCCTTCCAGTGACTCAATCACCCCTCCCCACACCAAGAACTCCCAGCCTCCCTAGCTCTGCCTCCCGAGCGACCTCCATGCCTGGACCACAGCCCCATCCCCAGCCTGCCCTCAGCCTCCTGTCTGAGCCTCCGAGGCCCTGCAGCACCCCTCATCCAGCCTTAGTCTCCCAGGAACCTGCTCTCTGCTCCTGGCACCCATGGCCCACACCAGGTCCTGGCAGATCCTGGGAGCTGGGGGTCTCCTCAAACCCCCCCCTGCTGCCCAGCACCTTCCTGGGCCTCAGCTCCTCCTGCTACCCCCAGGAGCAGCAGTGTCTGCACAGCCCACCATCCTGTCTGTTACCTCCGATGGCTCCAGCAACAAAATCCATGAACAAGGTGTGGTGGGGAGGTCCTGGGTCTGCCTTCCTGAGAGGGCTCTGGTGCCACCGGGGTGGCCTCAACAGCTCCCAGCTGGCCCCTCTCAGACCTTAAATACCTGCGGCAGGGGAGGGGACCGGAAGCAGAGCCTGTTGAGGCCACGTGGCACACAGCTGGACTCCCTCCCCTGCCCCCAGGACCCTTGTCCCAGTGCCCTCGGGACCCAGGTGTCAGGAAAGCACAGGAGAGAGCACAGGAGGTGGCAGACACCAGGGAGCAGGGTCACTGCCCCACCACATCCAAACACCTCCTGGGGAGGTCCAGAGACGGGGCTGTGACAGCTCCCGCCCTCCGGGTCCAAGCTCAAGCCTTCACTCTGTCCCCTGGGCTTTCCTGACTCCCTTGGATTTGCTCAGGACCCCTTGCCCGGGAAACTTACAAAGCTCCCTCACGCCGGGCGCGGTGGCTCACGCCTGTAATCCCAGCACTTTGGGAGGCCGAGGCGGGCGGATCACAAGGTCAGGAGATCGAGACCATGGTGAAACCCCGTCTCTACTAAAAATAGAAAAAAATTAGCCAGGCGCAGTGGCGGGCGCCTGTAGTCCCAGCTACTCGGGAGGCTGAGGCAGGAGAATGGCGTGAACCCGGGAGGCGGAGCTTGCAGTGAGCCGAGATTGCGCCATTGCACTCCAGCCTGGGCGACGGAGCGAGACTCCGCCTCAAAAAAAAAAAAAAAAAAAAAAAAAAGCTCCCTCACTTATTCACTCAACAAACACTTCCTTTGCTGACGCTACACCCAGGCAAGACAGCCAGTCCCTGTCCTCAAGGTGCTCCAGTTGTCAGGGAGGAAGGGGGTTGGGGGAACAGGCCTGAACCCAGGAACATCACCCACCATCTGTTCTCGCCCTTCCTGCTGCCCCGGCTCCCTGCTGTCTGCTCCATGGGAATGCGTCTCCCCGGACCCAGAGGCCAAGGTCAGGGCTGCCTCACCAGGCCCCCATGCCTGCATGAACCAAGGACAGAGGCTCTGCCGATTCAGCCTCTGAACCAACTGGCTGGGGCCCTCCTGAAGGGGAGACCTCTCCACTAAGAGGCTACTTCTGTCTGCTGGGCACTGTAAAAACAGGGACCTCCTCGCCTGTGCACCCCACCTTACAGTTCACCAAGCTTCTCTCACTCTCAGGCTCCAGGATCCTCCTCACCGCCCCAGAAGGGAGGCAGCACAGCATTAGTGCTGCCCATTTCACAGATAGGGCCACTGAGACCCAGAAAGCGGGCTTGTTTAAGGCCACGAAGGCGGCAGGGCTGGATATGATCCCCAGATGTTCTCACACAACCCACCCTCTGGGATATTCAGGGCCCACCTGGGGAGGCCCCAGTGGGCTCTCAAGGCGACTCAGTGCATGCCACATGTGACCTGCGCTGCAGCCCTGTGAGATCTCCACAGGGGACACCAAGGCTCAGGGAGGCTGTGCAGGTGCCTCAGTCACACAGCTGCTGAGCAACAGACTGAGTGAGTGCCCCGCAGACTGGAATGCCAGCAGGATAGGGGAGGGGCAGGTGTTGACGCATAGACCCAGGCAGCCCATGTGGGTGGCCCTCGGGGCAGGTGGCAGGGCCAGGAGGCTGTTTGTCTACCTGTTTTCCTGTCCTCTAACGGCCAGACCTGCAGGCTGGCCTTGAGCAGGCTGAGAGTTGACGGAGGGACAGCCCCCCTGACAGCCTAACTCTTTGTAGGCAAGTAGGAGACACAGGGTTAGCAGTGCCAGCTGCTATGGCAGAGGGTAAAGGGCAGCAAGTGGCCCATCCAAGGCCAGTCCTGATGCTAGTCCTGGCCCTCAAGGGGATGAAGCTTAGCGTCTGGTTAGAAGCTGGCTGCCTGACTTTAAAGCCCAACTCTGCCACTCATAGTTGAGACCATGGGCCAGCCCCTTGACCACTCTGTGCCTCCACTTTTGCATCCATGAAATGAAGACAGTACCTGCCTCATATCTGCAACTGCTCAGGGCAAGGTCCGGGCATGTCCCTGTGAGAGTGGCCAGCTACATGCTAAGGCTGCATTAACAGAAGCATAGAGTCTGGAAGGAAGGAGGTGACTGGCCTGTTCTGGGCAGGGCAAATACAGCTGAGACTTGGGTTCGATTGCTGATGCTGCACTCGAGAAGCCAGTACCTTGGGTGCTGAGGGAGTTTGAAGCATGGTGTCTAACTGACAGAACAGGGACCGTTCAGATCCATGTTTCCTGCAGAGCATCTAATGCAGCAAGTGCCAGTCACCCACAGCACCTGAGCCACAAGTCGAGGAGTTGCCCTGGACACCTCTCTCTCTCCACCCCACATCCAGAGTCCCCAGTCCTATGTGTCAACCTCAAATTCACGTTCAGATCCCTTCACCACTGTCCGTCTGCACAGCCCCAGCCGTGTCATCACCCCACGGACAGCGGCCTGCCCTGCCCATGCCCTCTACTCATGAAACCAAGGCTGCCTGTCGAGTTTTAGGCACTGAGACACATCAGTAAACACAACAGATAAAAACCCTTGCCCTGGGCCAGGAGCAGTGGCTCACGCCTGTAATCCCAGCACTTCGGGAGGCCGAGGCGGGTGGATCACAAAGCCAGGAGTTCGAGACCAGCCTGGCCAATATGGTGAAACCTCGTCTCTACTAAAAATACAAAAAGTTAGCCGGGCGTGTGGACGCCTGTAGTCCCAGCTACTTGGGAGGCTGAGGCAGGAGAATTGCTTGAACCTGGGAGGCGGAGGTTGCAGTGAGCTGAGATTGGGCCACTGCACTCCAGCCTGGGAGACACAGCAAGACTCTGTCTCAAAAAAAAAAAAAAAAAAAAAAAAAGCCCTTGCCCTTGTGGACCTTATGCTCAGGGAGGAGGACAGCCAGTCAACAGATGAATAGCCAAAATACACAGCACCCCCAATGGCAGCAAGTGCCAGGAGAGAAATAAGGTCTTGGGGAGAGGGAGACTTGCAGGGGGTGTTAGGGAGGCCCCAGAAGGTGACATTTGAGACAAGCCTGTTCTCTCAGTCATCGCAGCCAGGTTTGACCTGCTCTTTGTCCCCTGAACGAACATGCCCTAGCTTGACCCTTTTCTCCAAGGCAGAAACAGGAAACAGGCCACCCCACCATTTAGGCTGCTCCGTGCAGGTCTCAACATCTCCCCACTCAGCTGTGGGCTTTGGGCAGGCAGGGTGTTGCTGGGTTTGTCTCCACACCCACGGCACTCAGCACAGGCGGGCACTGGGGAGGCCAGGTAAATAAGTATGAGAGAAAATGAGTCAGTGAACAGATGGAAGGATGGATGGATGGGTGGAGGGATGGAGGGACGGATGGAGGAGGGCTGGACAGACAGATGGATGGATGGGAGACAAATGGAGGAGGGAGGGATGGGCAGGTAGACAAACGGATGGGTGGGAGGAGGGCTGCACAGACAGATGAGTGGACTATGGACAGAGGGACGAGTGGTCGGATGAAGGGGTAGAGCAATGAAGGCATGGACAGAAAGACAGATGGCTGGAAGGATGGACAGGCCGGCAGGGGCCCCACAAGAAAGGCGTGAGACAGTGTTGCAGAATCTGGGACAGGCCATCAGTCAGTCTACACCCTCAGTACCCACACTGTGCCAGGCCCTAAAGATCAAAGGGACTTCAAGAGGATGTCACCCACCTGACCCCATCACCCCATCCATCCTTTCCACCAAGCACCTTCTCCTCCCCGAAGGTGTTCACCTGGAGGCCCTGCACTTCCAGGTGTCCTCAGCTGGAGATAGCCAATGGCATTAGATGACTTTACTTACTTTTTTATTTTTTATTTTTATTTTTTTAGATGGAGTCTCGCTCTGTCACTCAGGCTGGAGTACAGTGGCGCAATCTTGGCTCACTGCAACCTCCATCTCCTGGGTCAAGTGATTCTCCTTGAACCAAGGAGGAGGAGGTTGCAGTGAGTTGCCTCTTGAGTAGCTGGGATTACAGGTGCGTACCACCATGCCCAGCTAATTTTTTTGTATTTTTGGTAGAGATAGGGTTTCACTATGTTGGCTAGGCTGGTCTCAAACTCCTGACCTCAAATGATCCACCCATGTCAGCCTCCCAAAGTGCTGGAATTACAAGAATGAGTCACCGTACCCGGTGGCATTAGATGATTTTAAACAATCATTATTCTTGTTAGGTGCAATAATGGCACTAAAGTTCTATGAGGAAATGCCTATATTTCTTAGAGATACAAACAGAAGTACATGGTGGTAAAATGGCATGATGGCTGAAATTTAATTTAACATCGTCTGGCAAAAAAAGAAAGGAAGAAAAGGAGAAAGATGATGAGTATGTGACCTTTGTTGTAGTCCGTGATAAAAAGTAGTAGCCGGCTGTGGTGGCGCATGCCTGTAGTCCCAGCTACTCCGGAATCTGGGGTGGGAGGACGACTTGAGCCCGGGAGTTCTGGGCTGTAGTGCGCTGGGCTGATTGTCCGATACGCTACAGTCAGCGTCCATATAGTGACTTCCCAGGAGTGAGAGACCACCAGGTTGCTTAAGGAGGGGTGAACCGGCCCAGGCTGGAAATGGAGCAAGTCAAAACTCCTGTGCCGATCAGTAG